ATTAGAAGAGTAGTAACTTGTGTATCTCATTAAACCACACGACACACATATATATATGGTGTCTACAATCTATCCAATGACAAGGATAAACTAGAATCCTACTAGAATAAAGATTACATGCCAAAGGATAATCATAAACTAGTAAGGTTTATGATAACTACAAATAAAGATATATCCCAACCATCATATCTTAACAAATACAGTGTAAATCACGCTTTCTTTTTTCCCCTTACTCCACACTAAAATGACGAAAATATCCATCATTTGTTCTCTTTGATAAAAAAAAAAGAGAAAATAGTTTTTTTAGACCAAAACCATTAAGAAGTTGTCCATTTAGTCTAATCTCATTTAGTTATTGTCCCATTAGATTAATTGTTTTCTAAATGGCAATAATACCCTTAAAATAGTTTAATAATTCGTAATTATAATTAGAAAATAGTAATAAATTATTATTTTTAATTAAAAAATTAATTAGAAATTAAAAAAATAAAAGAAAAATAAAAAAATAACAAATAAAATATAAAAAAAATAAAAAATATATTTTCGATTTGATCAAAAAGATTCCAGAAAATATTTTCCAAAGATTTTCCTTTTAATAAAACGTTTTTGCCTTTGAATTTTCTTTTTCTTTTTAAATCGAATTTTCCTATTTTTTTTTTAAAATCGAATTTTCCTTTTTTTTAAAAAAAAAAATCGAATTTTCCTCTTTTTTTTTAAAAAAAATGGAGTTTTAAATATGATAATAGAATATTTTCTAAGATATTCTTGCTATATTTTCGGATCTAATAATATTTATCCGTAGAATTCAGATTCTACTAAACGTAGAACTGTGTAAAAAGATATGAAATCAGTTTCTACGTGTATTAGAACGTTGTGCGAATTTAGATTCTGACTTCTACTTGTCTTAGATTTAAGTACGAATTTAGATTTCAACTTCTANCAGATTCTACTAAACGTAGAACTGTGTAAAAAGATATGAAATCAGTTTCTACGTGTATTAGAACGTTGTGCGAATTTAGATTCTGACTTCTACTTGTCTTAGATTTAAGTACGAATTTAGATTTCAACTTCTACTCTTTTTAGAACTATATGATAAGCGTGGAATGTGTATTCCAAACTATTTTAGATTCATGTTATCTTCGTAGAAAACATATTCTGCAATTCGTAGAAATAGTGAAAAAAGTAGATTCCGTATTCTAATCCGTAGAATACATATTCTAATTTCGGTAGAATAGATATATGAAATTATTATTTACATATTTTTAAAACAAGAATAAAATATCACTATATAGATATAGAGATTTCATCATTATGTACTATTTTTTTTAAAAAATTTGCTTCATAAATCTATTTTTTTTAATAATTTCAAAAATACATAAAGGGCATTAAAGTCAAAATTGGTACAAAATATAATTTAGCCTAAAGGGACAATATCCAAACCTATTTGGTCTAAAAAAACAGTTTCCCCAAAAAAAAAAGAATTCCAGCAATTGTTCTCTCTTCTTTTTTGGATTATTCCAAATTTCTGAATTACAAACTGTCGTAATAGTTTTTTATAGGTCGGCTCAAATTCATAAGTGGAATAATCTCTCGTGAAAATAAATCAAACTCATATTCTTCAACATTTTTCAGATGAAAACAGCTCTACCGTAAATATTAAATTTACAAATATATAATTTCCATGATTTTTTATTAAGAATTACAAACTTAAGTAATTAACATTTCGAGCGCTAAAATTTATTTGAAAAATAAAGATTTTTTAAAGACATAAATTCTTTTAAATCTAAAGCTTACGAGTTAATACAACTATTTATCTATTAACACACTTTCTCTTTTTTGTTAATTAATAATATTATAGAGATAAATACATACATTATGAAAACATTTAATTCATTACATTTTTTAAAAATCATCATTGCTTAAAGTATTTGAAAATATCAGTTTTAATATTCAAGTAATACTCGTATAGAATTATTCTGTAACTAATAGTTGACTATGTGAATTTATGAAAGAAATAGTCTAAATTCACGAAATAGTCAACCGTTAACTGTTTAAGAGAAAGATAATAGTTTTGTCAACTTTTTAACGGTTAACTATTCAAATTATAAGTTTGTGCAGTCAATATTTAATTGATGAATAAATATGTACATATAATATTTGAGTATTTAATTTGCCAATTGAAAAGTAATTTTTGTTTAAAATACATCATGATTTAAAATTTTTTTAAGTTAGATACAACCAAAAGATATTTACTTGATGAGATTTTTAAGTTTTTTACAATGATATTTACAATAATACAATTAATTATAATTGCATTGTATTGTTGATGTACTCATGTTTATAAAATCACATATGAATGAATTCAAATTGTTCAGAGAAGCATATATTATACATTGGATCTCTACTTTAGGATAGGGGTAGGCAAAAAATGAACCAAACCTAATGAGACCAAACCAACCAAACCAAATTAAACCGAATTAAACAAAATCTATAAATCAATGTGTTTTTGTTATTATTTGAATTAAACATACTAACAATATACAATATACTAAAATTTTAACACTAAAGTCACTATTTACTTTATTAATGACGTTGTTATTTTTTTAAATTTTATTGTTGGTTTATAAATTTTTTTGTATTAGTTTTATATTAGATTTAGTTTAAATAGTTTATTTTTTCAAATTTACCAACATGATAATTTCATGACCATACGTTTATATTTTAAAACATGATTTTTTAAATGAACTAAACTAAAGGAACTTGATTAAACCTAACCGAAATGCAAACATAATCGAAACTGATCTAAACCAAACTAATTATGATTTATTTCAGTTGGAAAACTTTAGAACCTAATTAACCAAAGCGAACCATACCCAAACTGAACAGATAAAATAACTGAAATGTCCACCCCTATTTTAGACAACCATATGTAGTCATCTTTACTTTTATACTATCATATATTATACATCATTAATACAATGCAATGCAATTATCTTATAATATTTATTTTCTTTTTTAAAAACCCAAAATCCGTTTCCAGAATTAAGTAATTTGTTTAATTGTTGAAATTGAAAATCTTTTTAATTAAGAGTTATTTTAAAAATCAATAAGTGATTTTATAAACATGAATTACATTAATAATACAGTGCAGCTATAATTATTTGTATTAATATACTTGTCATTGTAAAAACTCAATAATCTCTTTCAAAAAGTAAAAATCTCGTATATTGATTATACTAACTTGAAAATATTGTATAGTATGTTTAAAAAAAATATTTTGATACTTTTCAAATATTTTCAGTCGGAAATTAAATACCTAAGTATTATATACACATATTTTTTTATTCAACTAATCATTGATTGCACAAAATTATGATTTGAATAGTCAACCGTTAAAAAGTTGACGAAAACCGTTATTTCTTCGCTAATCAGTTAATAGCTGATCATTTCGTTCCTAGTTTCGCGTAGTCAACTATTAGTTAGTGAATAAATATGCGCGAACAATACTTAAATATTAAAATTACCGATTTTAAATACTTCAGAAATAAAATACTCATTTTCCCTACATCATATTATTGGCCGTTTAGCATAAATAGTTACTAAATATTACATTGAAAATTAAATACATCATTTAAAATATATTTTAAAGATTTAAGTTATATGATCACCGTTATTTATATATGTGAATAAATTATTTTAAATTTGAAATTTATAATATTATAATTATTCAGCGTTCAGAAGACTTGAATATTTATGGTAACAATAAAATGCCTAGTCATACTATATTAACATCTGTTATAACTGAAACATCCAATAATTAAGATTACTGGTTTCATAAAATATATTTTCTTAAATGTCTATAGGAAAAAATATTAGTTATTAATATATTACTGGTCAGAAGAATAAGAGAATAAGGCGGGTCCCACAAGGTTCGGATCCGATGGCTCCGGTCGGACCACGACACTAAAACTTAAATCACGCGCAAAAGTATTGATGAAGATATAGGGGTAAGATTGTCATTCACAGAGGACTGGCAGAATTTGTAAATCCGTACAAGAGGGGGAAAAATCTCATTACTCTCAGCACTCTTATTTTTTTTATTTCAATCCTTTATTTTCCTGCTTTTATTTTCTTCTTTTCACATTGAAACGCATTAACATTGGGAAAGAAAACAAAATCCAAAAAAAAAAAACCAAAAAGGCAGATCCGAAATTTTCCCACGAAAATCTCAGATTCCTGGAAAAAAAAAATTAATTGCAAAAGGAGAGAATAAGGGAATATTTGGGCAAAGATTTTTTCTTTTTTGGATTTGTTCAAACAATAAATTCTATCTTTGGGAAAGAACCAAAAAAGAGTTAATAATATTTAAGTTTTTAACATTTTCTTCTTCTTTTACTATCATTTATTGAAAAAAATAAACAAATCTATATCCTTATTTAATATTCACAGATTTTTGTTTCCTCTCTTTGTTATTAGGTGTTTGATCATTGTGATCATCGTCTCTTCTTCTTCACATACTCATAAATACCCTTTTCTCAGAAGATAAGAGTATTTTGATTCTGTTGTGTCTGTGACTGTTGTCTTTTGTAATAACGAGCCATGTCGGAAACTCAGAACTCGGTTCCATCTTCCGACAAAATTGAAGGTACTTCTTCCTCTCTTTTTGTTTTTATTACATCATGTTACAATACGTCGAAAAGTTCGGATCTTTAGAGTTAATCTTGTCGGATCATTGATTCTGATCACGCTCTGACGTCGTGAGAGACTGTTCTCTGATGATAATGTATTCAAAGTTTAGATTTTTATTGGTCTGTTACGTTTGGATTGGATTTGTTTTTCTTCTTGTCTTTTAAATGTTATGTCTCGTGTTCTTCGTGTGTGTTATGATGTTGTTCAGAGACCTTGACGAAGATGAAAGTGAATGCAGAGAACATGGATGAACCAAGTCTGTATCCTGATCGTCCTGGTGAGAGAGATTGCCACTACTTTCGGAGAACTGGCAAGTGTGGTTACGGAAGCAGCTGCCGTTACAATCATCCTGTTACTCATGTTCCAGAGGTGGGGAGATACTGTTGTTGCTGACTCTTCTCTCTGCACATTATCTTTTACCCTAGCTTAGAGTTTGTAATGTCTTTGCAGGCTGTGTTTTATCATAGAGATGAACTGCCTGAGAGGATTGGTCAGCCAGACTGTGAGGTGCACTGCTTAAATCTTACATAATCATCTCTCATTTTTGTATTCTTGCGTTTGTCTGAATAGTTTTGAGTACCTGTTTCTGTCTCTTGAGTGAAATGCCACATGTAGGGTTAGCAGTAGTCCTTAAACTTGTTTTTTGAGTCTTTAATAGCATTTATGGTGCAGAACATATGTTGTCTTGCGTCTTTCCTTATCTTGAAACTGTTAATAGTTTAGATTTTGATTTTCCATTTCTCTCTGATGATGATTAATGAGCACATTCTCTGTGTGCACTTTTCTCCGCAGTATTATAACTTGTTTCTGTCTCTGAGTGAATGCATCAAGTTTCCTGCATGAAGGGTTAGCAATAGTCCTTAAACTTGTTCTTGTGTGATTACATAAATACGTAATGGCATTTCGCATTTATGGTACAGAACATTGTCGTGTGTCTTTCCTTATATTGAAAGTATCAATAGTATAGGTATGGATGCTTTGTTTCACTTTTTTTCTCTGAAGATGTTTAACGAGCACATTCCTCTTCTGTGCTCAGTATTATCTGAAGACAGGGGCCTGTAAGTATGGCGCAACATGTAAATATCACCACCCAAAGGACAGGAATGGAGCTGGACCCGTGCTGTTTAACGCCCTCGGTTACCCTATGCGACAGGTGATATTACATTCTCACAGTGTTCTAAAAATCGGTCTAGACGGCGTCTAGGTGTCCATATTTTTAGAACAATGCATTTTCATCACTAGTGCATGGTTTTAAGAGAATTTTGTATATCTCTTTGTCTCTCCAGGGTGAGAAGTCATGTCCTTATTACATGCAGAAAGGAATATGTAGGTTCGGTGTTGCCTGCAAATTCCATCATCCTCAGACTCCTAATGGAAACCATACTATATATGGAATGTCCACCTTTACTTATACAGGTGGCTTGCCTGGGATGTCTTTGCCTCCTGCAACATATGGAACTATGGAACGTCCTCAAGTTCCTCACCCTCAGACCTATGTGCCCTTTATGGTTGCATCTCCTCAAGGCTGGTCTACTTACATGGTATGTCATATATATAATTGGGTCATGGCTCAAGTGGAGGCCTTTCTAAGTGTGTGTACCAATGTACCTTCACATAGACCAATGTACCAAGAGTTTGTCTTAATCTGAAAGATCTTGTGTGTCTTTTTTTATGGTGCAGGGTGGAACTAACCCTATTTATGATGTGAAAACTGAGCTTGACTCCAGTTCTGAAAGAGCTGAATGTAGGTTTTTTATGAAAACTGGGGCCTGTAAATATGGAGATAGTTGCAAATACAGTCATCCAAAAGAAAGGATGTTATCATCATTACCAAATCTCTTGAACCCTGCGGTTCTCCCAGCTAGACCAGTGAGTAGTTCTCTTGTCTTTCTGTTTATTTTGTCCACATCAGTGGAGATTTTGGTAACACCAATGACTCTGCTTTTGTTGTGTTCAGGGACAACCAGCATGTGGCAACTTCAAGGCCTATGGGTTCTGCAAGTATGGAGCAAGTTGCAAGTTTGACCACCCAGTGCCTGTGAACCCGTACAACAACACAGGCTTGACCATGCCTTCTTCTCCCCCTACTGCTTATACTCGACCGGTTTCAACTCCAGTGTTGATCACATTCCCGCCAAGCCGCTCTGATTCAACTACTGTATGTGATAAACCTGCTGCAGAGAATCAGAGCTCAGAGGTTGAGAAACAAGACGATAGTTCGGGTTCAACCACATTGTCCAATGATGCAAACAATCCAAATTTAGAGGCTAAGAAAGAGGAGGATGATCCTTCACCAGCTGACAACTCAGGAAAGCAGGACTCATCTGATAACGCTGCTGCATGATCATGATCCGAGTTTCTAACCACTCTAATCATCTCTCTGCCCTTTTTGTTAAATTTTTTGGAAGAAGGGCTTGGACATTTTCTATCTTTTTTTTTTCTTTCTGGATTTTTTGAGACTGCCATGGCTGAAACAAATAGGAATTGAACAGTTTTTTTTTTTTTTGGATCGGTTGATCAAATTTGACCTCAATTTGCAATTTTCATGATGATCAACCAATCAGGCTGATGATTATCTATTTTATTTTTTTTGCGAATTTTTGTATTAAATACTCCACACAGCTTCTGTTAATCGATGCATGTACGTACGTCTGTTGATCGGTGTTGCATGCACACCCAATCTCTTTGCCTATATCTCTCTGGAGTGTTTGAGATTTATTTTCCTTTTTGTGTGTTTGTCTCTTATCTATGGATCTATAGAGTGTGTTGGGTTTGCATCTTGTTCTTTACTCATTTTCTCTTCTTTGTTTTGATAGTTGCTTTGTTTAGGCAGAGCTTCCCTCTTGTAGGCTTTATGTTTCTCTTCCTGGGTTAAAAGTCTATGTTTTGACTGAGGATATAACTTTTCTTTGAGAATCTTTTACCCTTCCTAGTGTTGAAGTTGAATACTTATGATGTTAAAGTTGGTAGGTTTTGGTTTGTTCATCGGTCTTTGAGTGTCTATCTAGAATTCTCTTTTCCAGGATCAACCTGATTTCTTCAACTTCCTTGACTAGACTTTAATCATCACCTTATGTGTACTGAAACCCGTCTTCTTTGTTCAAGTTGTGCGGGAAAGCATTTTTTGTGGTCTTAAAAGATTCATGTCAAATCTCAATTGGTATGTCAATGATTTTAGTGTGGACGTAAAATAACACTTAACCACTTAATTGTACATTAAGTTAGTTCTATAAATTAAATAATTTAACTTCAAATATTGCCAAATTGAAAAAAAAAATCCATTTTCTAAATAAGTGATTATTTTGGAAGAGAAAATAAGTTTGAAAATATTCCAACAGTTAGTTAGCCTTAAGACCAGCGCTAAGGGAAACTCTTTATACCAATAATAGTAAACTCCATTTCTTATATAGACATAATGGCAAGAGAAACAATAGAGAGAGACAAGGAGGAATAGAGAAAGTGTGTGATCAATGGCTGCATCTAGAGAATTCATTATATGTTGCCTCTTAACACTTCTCTTGTGCACTCTCTTCATGAGAGTCGAGTCTGGTGCTGCTGACATCACCAGAAAAGGATGTGGAGGTGGGGGTAGCGGCGGGGACGGTAGTATCCTGGACGATAATGAGCGGTGTGTGGAGGAGGTCAAAGAGCATGACGACAATGACGTGGATGATGTTTTCAAAGTAATTAACAAGATGAGAATATATGCTTGATCATGGTTCATATATCGTTTAAGGGACATATATTCATACATTTTTTCCGTTTTTATTTTATTTTCTGACATTTGATTTTTCTGTATTTTGTTTTAATTTAATTTTATCTTTCTTTTTCCTCCATGTAATGAGAGAAATTGTGATCGGAACCATGCGATTCTAGCCATTTTTGTTATTCAACATTCCATGTTTAAAGTCATTCAGCATCCAGTGATTATCTAAAAATGTTTTTAGAAGAATGTCGTTTTCTTTAAACGTCACATATGGCTGAATGTACCTTGTAGTTTCTTTATGTGGTTATGTGCCAATGTACCGACTCCACTCAAAAATCTCAAGATGGGATGATTAATATTCAGGAAGTAGATTTGGTTGAGTCAAGTTCTTATAAGTCGCAAGTAAAATAAGCTTTCACTCTGTCTCCGTGCAGCCTAAATCAATGGATTAACCTGCCTTAACACTCCTATGTCTAGATATATATGAACACATTCCTCGTCATGATTTAAAGACAAAACTAAGATCAACAAATAAAAAGTCATAATACTCCATTTAACAAGGGTCATCTCACAAGCAGATGCTAACTTTGAGAGTTTGTTACTTTTAATTTATATGTATAATGAGAAGAAGAAACAAACATAAGAAAGTGTATGAAGTTTCTGTAGATTAAAAGAAAACATTCGGTCATGATCTTATTCACTATGGCATGTGGATACAAACACTGATAAACACATAAAAACACACACACTTACATTAAAAACATAAGTAAGACCATCTCAGATCTTACTCTTATTATTGTGAGCAAACTTTATATCATAGTTTCGCCATTTGTTTACATAACATCACTCGTGTATCTAATACGCCAGTTGTCACGATCATATATCTCTCTGTCAGATAGCTTAGGAGCATATCCTTTCTCACGATGGCCTTCGAAGTAGCATTTTTGGAGAGACTCTTTTGAATCAAGAAACTCGCTTAGCCATTTCCCAGATGACCTCATATATCGTTTCATGTTGTCATCGAAATCGACATGGTACAGCCCAAACCTGATTTTATATCCTTTCTCCCACTCGAAGTTGTCCATTAACGACCATATGAAGTAACCCTTCAGCCTCACATTGTACATCCTGCGATTCAGACAAAGCTCAGTTGATTAAAACTGTAAGAAGGGGGCCAAGATACGTTCGTGAGTGAACTATCGCATTTATGAGAGTATTAGTTAGTGGTAGACCTGATGGCTTTGCCCATAATTAAGATGTGACTCTTGATGAACTCTTTTCTCCCATAGTCGTTTAGGGATTCCTCAACGGTCTTGGTCCCATCGTCCAGCTCGTCCATCCCTACCAATTAAATTTACCAATAACCATTGTATCATCGTACTAATTACACAAATAATTAATATATATATATATATATATATATATATTTGTATATTATTAATTGGTTACCATTCTCCATGATGTAAATCTCTGGATCCATGTATTCATCTTTGAGATGTCTCATCAGATTCATCAAACCCGCTGGATATATCACTATCCCCATTGATGTTGACTGCAAATTAAACAATATATATAGCTTGTACGTAACTGATAAATTGAATTGGCCGAAAAATGAAAAAAAGAACCATTTGCAGCTGAAATATTCTACTAGCCAAATAAAACCAGTAGATAGAATTTAACATAATTCTTGATAAATTTTGTTCCAGTGAAAATATGCACTCCATACATTACATATGTTCTTGTATAATGCATGTTGATATGGAAAAAGAAATATGCACACAGATTATAGGAGTTGAGTACCTTCAGATGTGGTGAATGGTTTTGGTCAACTACAAAAAAAACAAGAGGAAGCAAAGATATCATTATTTGAAAAATGAAACTAATGTTAATTATTCAACAATTATATAAGCTAAAGGAATCATTTCATGTCAAAGCGATTAAGGTTGGCACCTGTCCAGTTTACACGCATATCTGAATGATAACTAATCTGCGATGAATTAACATTAGTGAGTGGCGTAGAAAAGAATGCTCCATAGTAATTTATTCCAACGTAGTCCAAAGAGCCTCTTAGTCTCTTAGATTCTTCTGGTGTAAATGCTTCCACTCGGCTTGTGGTACCTTCTAGCATCTCTTTTGGATACTGTCCATACACGAGAGGGCGAAGAAACCTGTTCACACGTAGCTCAAAAGAATTAGATATCACATCTTATATATATAATCAAAGATTATAAAAACAAAAACTCACCAGCCGAGTTGGTACTCTAGGGAACGTCTTGCTGCCTCGACATCTTTACTTGAGTTTGGATCTTTAGGCTCGAACCAGTGAGACACCAACACTATTCCAATTTTTCCTCCTCCCTCTTGGCACTATATTTTTTTTAACATAACAAAATAAATAAATTCGAACAATTATATAAGAGTATAGAGTTTATGGTTTAAGGTTAGGGTTATTTAAATGAAATTTTCTAACAATAACCTTTTCACATTTTCGGAATTCTTCAACAGCAGCAACATGAGCAAGGATTTGGTTACGACCAACTCTGTAAGGCTCTTCGGATGAATCTCCTGAGGAGCATTTGATGACTTCAAATGGAGAGCACCGTCCTGGCGCTTTCTTACCTTTTGAATAACCAGCAACACTATATACCGATGGCTCGTTAAATGTTGCCCAGTTCTTAACCCTATCTCCAAATTTATCGAAGCAGAACTTTGCAAACTTCCGGAAATCCTCACTACATTAGAGGTTATTCAAATTAGTTTGATAGAAAGAAGAATGATTTACGAATCCTGAAAAATTCTTATAGAAATATTTACTTACACCATTTCTTCGCTTAGAAAACCTCCGTATTTCATCTCTAGAGCAAGTGGAGACTCCCAGTGAAATAGAGTAATCGCTGGCTGAATGCCTGTCAATTATTATTAAAAATCATGTTGAAATAATTAGGTGAAAACATTCAAGATATATATGGAATCATAAGTAATAAGATGATTTACCATCAGCTATAAGTGCATTTATAAGATCGTCGTAGAACTTCACCCCCTCTTCGTTGACTCCTTTCTCTATCGATCCATCTGAAAATCACACATACATGTTTTAATTTATTTTTAGTTAAGATTCATTACTCTTTGAAACATAAATTACAAACAATATGTGGTTTTTGATTAATAAATAAAAGGACGAATGTGATGGACTTACAAGGCAATACTCTTGTCCATGAGATTGAAAATCTGAACCCATTTGTTCTCAACTCCTTCATTAGTTTTATATCATCCTATAAGATCACACCACGTGCAATTTTTTCAATATATTGTTGAAATAATGTTGCTACCATTTAATGGATTTCATACCCAAAAATATTCTCTTATTCAATAAAATATAAACCCATTTTAAACAGTGACGTACCTTGTAACGGGTATAGAAGTCGACTCCGATATCTCCATCACTGCCTTGTTCAACTTTGTCTGAAAGATACCATATCCACGGTGATATATATTATATTTTCTTAGAAGTTGTTTGGTAAAATAAAAGGGGAGATTAAAACTAATTAACAATATTGTATAAAAAGAATAAAGTTCAACTTCTTAATCACTTTATAAGTAATACAAGAAATGTAAGTTATACCAGGAAACATGTGTGTAAATTCATCCCATGTTGTCAAACCTCTCCCTGATCCCTTTTTAGCACCTTCAACCTAAAACCGAAACCATTCGAACATAATAAGATTATTTTATCTATGTTACAATGTACGTGGATATAATGTGTATAATATCAAATGTATATTCACCTGATATGCGGAAACGGATGTTCCAAAGATGAAATCGTCAGGGAAATCACTCTTGCGGACCTCAAACTCGGGTCCAATGATGGTGCCCAAGTCATCATCATCTAGGTTGACTTGCGGTTCGCTCTCTCCCGGTCCAATAACGAGGCCAAGGTCGTCTTCAAATGTATCGTGAGGTCCAATGACGAGACCGAGATCCTCATCACTTGGTTGAGGCCTTGCTTCAGCGTTGAAGCTAAGGGTACTCGTTAGGGCTAAAAGCCCTAGGAAAAGAGTGAGAGTAGTAGTTGCCATTAGAGATATGAGTGGTTTTCTTGTGAATGTTATTAGTGAGTTGGTATGGTTCTTCTACTTCCCAAGGAGTCTATTATTTATAGAAAGGAAGCTTCAAACTGCTGTATTAAGTGAAAGGGAATTCGTGATTTTACTTGGGTTACACTCATATTTTGTGGGACAGCTTTGGTTTGGCTATAGGATACGTTATAGTATTATTATATATTCTTTGTTTATGAAGATGCTTGCCTTTAACTGTTAATATTTTAACATATCCAAAAACATAATATAAATTCCAATCGAGCACACACACAAACAATCAAACAAGATGAATGAATTTTTAGTTCAATTTTTTTTCGATTTAGAATCAGATTGATGAAACCAAATTCGTACAAAACCAATTCATATCTTGTGGGACATCTTTGGTTGGTTATTGAACAAGTTCTATAGTACTTTATATTAGTTGCTATAATTAATTCCAAATTCGTTAGACTAAAATTTTAATGTTAGTTCCTGTTTCCTATATGAGATTATATTTGATCGTTGTACGTACACCTTTCAACGTAAAGCTTACAGCTCATATAGATAGGCCTTTTGTCAAAAGATATCTTCTATAATGTATGTGGTTTATAAATAAAGACAAGCCATTATCTCTACTACTTTACTTTATAGGATTTGTTAAATCTTTATTTAGCTCATTGTATTTTTTTCCTTCAAATTTTGTTTAGTTTTAAAATATTTATTCTATTAGTAGTTTTTTTTTTTGAAACACTTCTATTAGTAGTTTTTATGAATTTGTCCAGCGTCATTTTCCAGTACACAGCACGAAATGCATTTTAAGTGATTTTTGAAAAATTATTCTAATACCTTGCTCAAAACTTTAATTTATATTTATTCCAATCTTCTTTGGTAGCACACATGTCACATTCATCTACTACTGCCCTTTTTGGGCCCTCATCGACGTCATTTATTCACCACATTTTGTAGTCATTAACCCAAGAATTCGAGCGACTGCATTGATTGTTGTTATAGTGCCACTGTCTGATTTTCATTTTATTTTTGGAAAGCCAAACCATACAGCAAATGAAGAAAACAACTTTCAATTATGACATGAAGAAATCAAACAAAAAAATATTTCAAGATAATTTACTTTTGTACGTAATATGGAGAAGAAATGATTGAAGTTTGAACAAAAAGATCGATCCTTAAATTATCTCTTCGAATTGTCTTTATGTAACCATCCCAAACCGCATAGAGTATCCGCGATTTTTTTAAAGATTATTCTTATACCTTGCTCAAATCTTTGATAAAATTCCCATACCAAAAAAAAACTTTGATAATTAAATATTCCAACCGTCTTCCTAGAATACATCCGTCATTTTCACCTACTTTTATTTCTTCACCACATTTTCTGTTACAAGTTAGTGGTAGATATATCCAGGCCCAGTCGTGATAGGAAGCTGGCTTTCAAAAATATATATAAATTTTGGCCAATTTTTGACAAAATATTTCTTTAGTCTAATGGTTTCTATTAAGCAATCTTAGTGTAGCAATCCCAGTTCGAGCCAAGGTTGGGACATTATCAGCAAGCTTCTGGTCATTTGCAAGTCAGGACCGCTACCCGATATATCGGGAGTCTACTTATTCTAATTGGGGATTCTACTCCTAATTTTAATGCTCCAGTTATGTTTGAGAAAAAAGTACATATTGTTTAGTTATGTTCTCTGGCCTGAGTTCTGTAGACCGGCCCGAGTCAGAGTGGTAGTGAAAATGCTTCAAAACTTATACTTTGAAGCTGAGAACGTAGCTGAAGCTGGGGCAATTGTTGTGCTTCATGCCGTACAGCACATCTCAGAATTAAATTACAAAGAAATCTTCTGTTGGATGTAAAAAAAGCACTCCATCCTTTACAAGAGGCTACATCACCAACTCATACTCGCTAAAGGAGCTATCTCTTTAGACACGAGGTCAAGATCCTTGGCGGACTAATTCAAATTCACTAAGTAAAAATGCATGATATAAAAACATTGATCGACACCATCAATGGTCTGTGAGTTAGCAGATCTGGTTACTATGAAACACAAACGTTGAAGATCAGATATCTCCTCCCTAGCAGTAACGACCTTACTTCTCCATCTTACTCATGTGCTTCGGCTTTGATCTTTTTCTTAGAGAATGTTAAGGTTGAGCTATAGAAATAGGCAAAAAACTAGCTAGCTAGGGTTTCACTCTCCATTTTGGGAAAAAAGACCACAAAAAAAAAGAAATTAAAGAAGTTTCCGTAGATACCAAGTAATGTTTCCTTGAACAAAGTAACCCCAGCTTGACTTTAAACGACGCCTCGCCCTGAGATAGTAACAATATTTCCTATAAACGACGCCGTCTGTTCCGAGATAGTTGCAGTATTGCCTTTTACTTTGCTCTTGATGGTAAATGCGTCTAACCACGTTATTTCAACGTTAACGACACGCGATCTTGTTATGCTTCCGTTTGTTACGTTACTAGGACAGCTATCCAGTTAATTTCTAGTTCCGTCCTTTCTTTTTGGGTTTTATTGTAAATTCACATACCCTCGGGGCTATTTTATCATTTATTAGAAATTAAAGGGTATCATAAAAATAAATACAAATTCGTCTTCTTCTTCACTGAAGATACAAAAAAAAATAAAAAAGTAATAAATCTGTGGACTTTGAAGAGCTTCACTTCAATGGCCGAGTCAACACGAAACGCTTCGTTTCAGTGGCGGATACTACCTCCGATTCTAGCTTTACTCTTGTCTCTCCCGATCGTCTCCGGAAGTTTCTTCAAACCGTTCAATGTCAGTTACGACCACAGAGCTCTCATCATCGCCGGGAAACGGCGCATGTTAGTCTCTGCGGGAGTTCACTACCCTCGAGCCACTCCTGAAGTAACTATCTCTTTGATTGCTATTGAAATTTTGATCCTTTTTGAGTTAAATAATATTTGAAAAATTGGGAATTTCAGATGTGGCCTGATCTCATCGCAAAGAGTAGAGAAGGTGGTGCTGACGTGGTTCAAACTTATGTGTTTTGGAGTGGGCATGAGCCTGTTAAGGGTCAGGTTTGTTATTGTATCTCTCTGTGTGTCTTGTACTCTCTCTATCTCTGTATGAAGTTAAAGATGGGAACTTTGATGTGTTGTTTCAGTATAATTTTGAGGGAAGATATGATCTTGTCAAGTTTGTGAAGCTTGTTGGATCGAGTGGTCTTTATCTACATCTACGCATTGGTCCTTACGTTTGTGCTGAGTGGAACTTCGGGTATTGTCTTCTTGCAAACCATTTGTGACTTTTGTCTCTTGTTTTTTATTCAGCTCTGTTTATTTATTTATTTTTCTCTTGGATTCTTGTTAGGGGGTTTCCAGTGTGGTTGCGTGATGTTCCTGGCATAGAGTTTCGAACAGATAATGAGCCTTTTAAGGTAACATTTTCTTTTATTACTATTTTACTTTTTCTAATGTCTGTTTTAGCTTTGCTTATAATGATGTATTTATGCTTGATGTTTTGCAGAAGGAGATGCAGAAGTTTGTAACGAAAATTGTGGATCTGATGCGAGAAGCAGAGATGTTCTGTTGGCAAGGCGGTCCCGTAATCATGCTGCAGGTCATATGAGAATTTTGTTCCATAGAAATGAGCTTTCTTTCGTTTTATACTCTTGCTATAAAGGCTAAGATGATGCTTATGTTGGTGACAATCTCTCGCTTTGTTTGTTGGCCAAGATAACTCGCCTTCGACTGACCAGCCTTCTTATTTTGAATAAGAATGCAATGAACTTATATATATATGTGTGTGTATATATTGGTGCAGATTGAGAATGAATATGGGGATGTCGAGAAATCATATGGGCAGAAGGGAAAGGATTACGTCAAATGGGCTGCTAGTATGGCTCTAGGGCTTGGTGCTGGAGTTCCATGGGTTATGTGTAAGCAAACAGACGCTCCAGAAAATATTGTAATGTTGCTAACTAGACTTTTTTTTATTGCCATAAGATGACTCACATTTATCTTGTAGCTGAGCCTGTCCCTGCTTGAGTTCCTAAAGTATGGGTGAGTTGCCAATGTTTACTGACCTTTTGACGTCTATTAATCTCTTTTTTTGCCTTAGATTGATGCATGCAATGGATATTATTGTGATGGTTTCAAACCAAATTCGAAGACCAAGCCCGTTCTTTGGACAGAGGATTGGGATGGATGGTATGTTTTTTTTTTTGTCATGCAGTCTTCTGACAAAGTTTTGCTCTTTCCAAAGAACTGTCTCCTTAAAATTTTGTTCCAAGGCCAATGTAACAATTGTCCTTAATTTTTTTGTTAATTGTTATGTTAATTGGTTTTTGGATGGAATGAGTATATGTTAGGTTGAATTTTTGAAGGTACACGAAATGGGGTGGAAGTTTACCTCATAGACCTGCTGAAGATCTTGCATTTGCAGTCGCAAGATTTTATCAGCGCGGAGGAAGCTTTCAAAATTATTACATGGTACAACAATTACATACAAGATTTTTTATATTTCTCTTCTCACAGCTGACCACGTTCATTGTGCTGCATATATCAATGTGTCTGTTTTACGGTTGCAGTATTTTGGTGGAACAAACTTTGGTCGAACTTCTGGTGGTCCTTTCTACATTACCAGCTACGATTATGATGCTCCTCTTGATGAATATGGTGGGTGAAAGCTAAGACTAGCAAGAAAGCAGATTGCTAAGAAAAATATAGTTACCTAATTATCTAATGAGATTATGTTTGTCATACTAAGGTCTGAGGAGCGAACCAAAGTGGGGGCATCTAAAGGATCTTCATGCTGCCATAAAACTTTGTGAACCTGCCCTTATTGCGGCAGATGCCCCTCAGTATAAAAAACTGGGATCAAATCAAGAGGTGTGCTATTACTCATGTTGCATATAGCTCACTCTTTTTTCTAAGTTATAATAGACAAATGCTGTTAGATAAGCTTCCTACCGGTTTGATTGGTACCCTCCTTTGCTTGTCAAAAGTTTCACTTGGTTATGATGCCAAGTCTAGTCTTCGTTGCCATTTATAAATTATACTTATGTACTGAATTAATTACTAGGCTGTTTCTTTTATTCATTTTCAGAATGAATATGAAGTATTATATTATATATGCTCAAGATTCGGAGTTCTTACTTGTAAATAACGCTAAGTCCAGGCACACATTTATCATGGAGCTGGTGAGACTGGAGGAAAGGTGTGCGCTGCATTTCTAGCCAACATTGATGAGCATAAATCCGCAGATGTGAAATTTAATGGCCAATCGTATACATTACCTCCTTGGTCAGTTAGCATATTGCCAGATTGTCGACATGTGGCCTACAACACTGCCAAGGTTTGATTTTTCATTTCTACTTGTATTGTTGTTGCTTGTGCGGTTTGAATGCAGAATACTGATAACTTTGTATGGAATTTTAAAAACAGAGCTGTCGCTATGAGAACATCTAGAAGGACTAGTTCTGTTTCTGTTGCTTCACTGAGACCTTTTGAAACAGCCTAAATATCTTTTGCTTTGAACTTGACATTTATGATTTAATCAGGCAACTGGCTTTTTAATTTGCTTCAGATAGTTAATTTCGTTTTTAGTCCAAGATGGTTCTTGAGATTCTCGTTTTTGCCTGTTCTTGAGCAGGTAGGAGCACAAACTTCTGTTAAAACGGTTAAACCTGCTAGGTTCCCTTTAGGTAGTATGTCTATACTACAAAAAGTCGTGAGGCAGGATGATGCTTCTTATATCTCAAAATCATGGATGGCTCTGAAAGAGCCTATTGGCATATGGGGTGAAAACAATTTCACCACCGAAGGATTATTGGAGCATTTGAATGTTACAAAAGACCAGTCTGATTACCTGTGGCATAAGACAAGGTAGCTATGCGTTGTTATCTCACTAACTAGAATCAAGGGACTGTTTCAAGAAGCTTTTACATCTAAACTTCACTCATATACTCTTCCCCGTCCAGTATTATAGAGGAGTTTAGTACTATGAAATCTGTAATATTTACTAGTTCTTTATCTTTTAGCTGTAATGGCTTTCCTTCTTCTCAACCAAATGCAGAATAAGTGTATCCGAGGATGATATCTCGTTTTGGAAGAAAAATGGAGCTAATCCAACACTGTCAGTTGATAGCATGAGGGATGTGTTGCGTGTGTTTGTAAACAAACAACTCTCAGGTAATTTACTTCACTTTCGCCTGCATGTCATTTTACAAATAGACTAGTCCTGAACTGCGTGTGTGTGTGAGCTGTCGCTTTTGGTTCGTTTTACATAGCTTTCATGAAGTGCAAAGTCTTAGGAGTTGTTTTTTGTTTATCTTCACTAATTGTTTCCTCCTGCTGAATGAAAGTAAAGGCAGTATTGTTGGTCACTGGGTGAAGGCAGTGCAGCCTGTACGTTTTGAGCAGGGAAACAATGATTTACTTCTCTTGACTCAAACAGTTGGGTTACAGGTAAAAATGCCAGTACCTATTTTCTGCCTTTTTTCTTTCTTACAGCTAATTGTGATCATTTTCAACTTCACGACACAGAACTACGGTGCTTTCTTGGAGAAGGATGGAGCCGGTTTTAGAGGCAAAGCGAAGCTTACTGGCTTCAAGAATGGAGATGTGGACCTGTCAAAATCTTCATGGACCTATCAGGTGTAGTTAAAGTGTATATGGTCTTTAAAAGAGAACTAAAACAGATGAACTCTGTGGATTTTTTCCTCTCTCTGGCTTTATCTAAAATTTGAAGATATTTTTAATGTTGGGGTTTATTGTAGGTGGGATTGAAGGGCGAGGCTGAGAAAGTATATACTGTTGAAGAGAATGAAAAAGCTGAGTGGAGCACCTTGGAGACCGAAGCTTCACCTTCAATCTTTATGTGGTACAAGGTATGTGAAACATGTTGACGTCTTGTTGTCTCATTTATCTTTTCTTATAATCTTCATGGTTCCTTTTCCTTCTCTTTTATTGAACTAGACATACTTCAACACCCCAGACGGAACAGATCCTGTTGTTCTAGATCTGGGAAGTATGGGAAAGGGACAAGCATGGGTCAACGGACACCATATTGGAAGGTACTGGAGTATCATTGCCCAAAAGGATGGATGTGACAAAACTTGCGATTATCGTGGAGCCTACACTTCAGATAAGTGCACAACAAATTGTGGAAAGCCTACACAAACCAGGTAATGGACATGAAAATAACTAAGCAGTGACTATTAAACCCCAGGGTACTGATCTAGTATCAATGTACAGGTACCATGTACCACGTTCTTGGTTAAAGCCTGACAGTAATCTACTAGTGCTCTTTGAAGAAACCGGGGGAAACCCATTTAAGATTTCTGTTAAGACAGTTACTTCCGGTGTTCTGTGCGGTCAAGTCTCGGAGTCGCATTATCCACCTTTGAGGAAATGGTCCACACCAGGTTTCATGAATGGAACAATGTCGATAAACAGTGTGGCACCAGAGATGCATCTGCGTTGTGAAGAAGGGCATGTTATATCCTCCATCGAGTTTGCTAGCTATGGAACTCCAAGAGGTAGCTGCGATAAGTTTTCTACCGGGAAATGCCATGCATCCAAATCGTTATCAATCGTCTCTGAGGTAAGTGTTGTGATAAATAGCTATAATATTGGTCCATAGCAACTGTGAAAGATGACTTTAAAAAATCATTGTTCTCTTCTACAGGCTTGTCAAGGACGCAACAGCTGCTTCATTGAAGTGTCAAATACTGCATTTCAGAGTGACCCATGTAGAGGAACTTTAAAGACATTAGCGGTTATGGCACGATGTTCGCCTTCTCAGGACACGAGTTACCTCAGTTTTTCGACAGCGTGAAACTGCTTCAGATTGATGAACAACTGTTGTTTACATGATTAATATCCTGAAGAAGACCACAGTTGATCAACTAGTAAGAAGAACATGCCTCATCGCAAGCTTTTTTGCTTTGATCCTTTATCTTTGAGAGACTGAACAATTGAGTTTGATCTTGTTCATCGTTGTGTCCAATCTCCACTTGAAACCAAATAAACAAGAAACTCATCTTGAATGTGTTTCTGCTTGTACAGTTTGTTGTTAACACTTGAGAATGTTCGGTGGTAACACTCAGCTGGTGTAATGATTTATCTCAATCGTTATAAATGCATATATTTATGTGTCCAAGTCATGCATTCATTATATACTAATTAAGAAATTATTATAAATATACGATTTATCTTCTCAAGATTCAGGTCTCAATTTATTTTTAGATTTTATTTTTGAGTTCATCTTCTAAATTCATCACTAATATAATTGTTAATAAAAAATTGTAATCATATTCTATTTTCAAAATAAAAAAGTAAGCAATTATCATAAATACCATTAATTACTAAAAAAGAAAAACAAAAATTTTAATGTTGTTAATTCCGTCAAATAAACCTTAAACCATAAATCTTAAACAATAAACCTTAAACGCTATCAGCATAATTATAGATCATATATTTTAGGATTTATGATTTATCCAAAGATTCAAGGTTTAATGACTAAAGTTTAATATTTATAATATGGGATTTAGAATTATGCTGACGATATTAATAACATTGTTTTTTGCACTTACTATTATTTTTTAGTTTAAAAACATAATATTATTTAGCAAATTTTTATTAGATATTATATTAGTGATGAACCTAAAAATTCACATAGATTCAGTTTAGAGTAAACCCAAAAATAATTCTTTTTTACACCATCTACTTAATGATAGTTCTAACTGCACCGAATTAGTATTTTTATCCATTGACTTCTTTTTTCTGAACTCTTTTTTATCCATTGATATGCATAATATTGATAAATAATGATTTCTCTAGGGTTTGAAACACAGATTTGATATAGATACATCAATGAATATTCAATCGGACCACTAGATTAATGGGTTTTCACATACTAATATTTTATTATATATAAAGTAAAAATGCAACTATTATTCTTCTTGGGGTTACGAATAAGACATACATGCAAATAATTGCACACAGTGGCTAGATCACTCTAATAGCAGTGGAGTGTGTATGGTTAGTTGACTCAGTAAATTCTAAGCACGATATACACGAGAAGAAGACAAAGGCTAGGGATTACAACGAGCAATTGAAAGTGTTTCTGTGTTTGGTCTTTAGAATATCTCAAAACAAAGTACTTTTCATTATTTTCCATCATTCTTTATATAAACGATATAAACTCTGATAATGCGAAACATGATAAAGACTAATATCAAGATCTAGACAAACGGGAACAATAGCGAAACATTACAAGAGTCACAACAGTGGTGATAACCAAAATGCTGGGGGTCTTCATCAGTTCCATTCGTCTGAAAAAATTGGATAACTGCTGGGAGGACAACGGCACGTAATCTAGATGTTTAAGTTGATATGTTTTGCTGTCCAAAAACCTCCAAGGGGTACCAAATTTTCAATAAAAGGAGTTATCACACTAATCTCTGCAGCGATGAGACGAACTTCACCTGTCTCTCGGTAATATTTGAACAAGCTCTCGTAATTGTCATGGAAGAAAAGATTTCCGTTCTTAGAAACCGCCACTGGCATAATCCAAAACGAAAACAGGGATGAAAGGTTGTCGTCAGGGTGAGCGAGATCTAATAAAGGTATGGAGTATATCACACTCCATGTTTCTTCAACTTCTTCTGGTGCTTCCATGCTCCATATCTTAACGTTCCAATGATTGTTCTCAATATAGGAGTCAGCTAGGGCTAGACGGTTTTCAAGGTTTGCTACCTGGCATGAAGTTCCGAGTGCTCCTAACGGTAGTCCAACGTCACGCCACTCTAGTGTATGAAGATCCAAAGCTAAAAGTTTGTTATAAGGAGTACCTTTTACCCAATAGATGGACCCATTTACACATGTCGACTTCCTTCTTAATCCTACATCATAAGGAGGCGGATTCAGTTTCTGCCATGCCCCAATCTTAACATCAAGAATCTCGCAGCAACAATAAATCTGCCTATAATGGTTAAAGAACATCCTCACTATTTTATAGCTCCCGCTAACATTGTCTCCACCGAATCCCATCCTCCAGTATCCAGGGAAGTCATCGCATAAACAATCTGTGGTTTCATGTTTTCAGAGCTACCAATGAATCTTTATATACACAAAAAAAAAAAAAAACTGTATATATATTTATATATTTACCTGAGTAACGATATTTAGCATAACGGTGAAACCGAGGATCTCGGCCGGAAGAGAATCTACGAGACTCTCCGGTGGAAGGGTTGAAAACAATGACCCAGCCTCGTACCGGGATGCAGACCAGACCGTCACATGACAGCAACAGCGACGGTTCTGAGTCAACATCACACTGTAGATAGACCATCTCTAACTCTTCGTCCCCTTTGAAAATCGGTGGGATTAGGTCCGCTACTATTTTCGTCTTCGTTTGAGCATTCATGATACGCCTCCTCTCCATGAACCTCCTCGACTCTAGTATTGATCTCCATTGTTTTGAGACGGTTTTGAATTTGACGATGGATTTCAACGGAAGTCGAAGGAAGATCCCTTCCAGTAGCTCGGGAACTAGGTACATGTGATTAGGGTTATCGTCTTCCGCAAAGTTATTTGTCTTTGACTTTTTTTGGTGTATGTATTCTTAGAATATTCGTAGAGTTTTGTCTTAAACCTAAGTAAGGAAGTCAACAGGCTAGCCCGGGCCGGGCCGTTCCAAAACCAGCAACATCCGGACCGTAAATATTTGAATCTGGTCTGGCCCGAAAATATTTTGGATGTATACTCTAAAGTCCGGCTCAACCCAACAGAACTGTAGAGTTTTTTCGTGTTTTTGAAATTCTTAAAATATATTATTAAAATATTGTTCACTATTTTAAAACATCTAATTTTTCATAAATATCAGTTATAATTCTTCGTTTTTGAATATCTGTTATTATTGTAGAAAAATCTTCTTTAATAAAAGTATTTATTTCAAATGCTTTAAAACAATAATATAAACAAGTCGAATTTAAGAAAATTTAAATAATAAAAAAATAATTTAAAACTTAGTATAAAAGAACAAAATTCTTATGCTAAACACAAACAAACGTTCCAGACTTTGCATTTTCGGATATGTTCTACAAACCTCCTTTTTTTTTTTTTCGAAAACAAGATATAGACGAAAAGAAGACAAGGGCTAGGGGATTACAACGAACAATTGAAAGTGTTTTGTCTTTAGAATATCTCAAAACAAAGTATTTTTCATTCTTTTCCATCTTTGTTATATAAACTATAAACTCTGATAATGCGAAACATGATAAATACTAGGACTGGGCAAAAAAACTGAAACCCGAAAATCCGAACCAAACCCGACCCGATAAAAAGGAATCCAAATCGATCCGAACCCGACATAAATACCGAATGGATCTTGTTTTACGGTATTTCGGGTTATGGGTTTTATCCGAACCGAACCCGAACTTATATGGATATCCGAAAGAACCCGAAACTTTAAAATTCCAAAAAAACTTATATCATACTCAATCTAAATTTCTAATATGTTTCCAAAACACATTAATATATTATTGAGTATCTATAATAATTAGTTATGATATAAATAATTAACTCAAATATTTAGTCTAATATATAGTGTTATTTGGCTGTTACTAATGTTTATGATTGACACTACATTTGAAGTTAAGTTACGAATAAATTTGTTTTGAAGTTTAAATAATGTTGTTTTTTAAATTTTCAATATTACTTCTTATGTTGATATAATTGTTAGTTGTTAACTTTAACTTTTTATGTTTCATTATGTATGATTTTCGTTCATACAAGACTTTGGTTTATCATTAATCATGATATGTTTAGTGTTGTCACATATAGTTCAATGACAAATCTTCTATTGTTGATAGATGAGTTTCATAATATTATTTAGATGTAGAACAATACAGTTTGTAGAAGCTAAATAAACAATTTAATAAAAAGATTGAAAATATAGTGAATTTAATTGAGTATAAATTAGTATTTTTAGAATCGATAACCCAATAAGCATCCGAAACCGAAACTATTTCGGGTTCAACTAGATTTTGGACATGTTACTAAATCGAACCGAACCCGATTAAACCCGAACAGAATCCGACTCGAATTTTTATAATATCCGAATAGGACTGAAATTCATGAACCCAAAAGCCCGAAACCCGAATAAACCCGAACCGAAACCCGATTAGGACCCCGAATGCCCAACCCTAATAAATACTAATATTAAGATCTAGTTAAACGGGAACAATAGCGAAACATTACAAGAGTCACAACAGTGGTGATAACCAAAATGCTGGGGGTCTTCAGTTCCATTCGTCTGAAAAAAATGGATATCGGGTAGGACAACGGCACGTGATCTAGATGTTTAGGTTCATATGTTTTGCTGTCCAAACCTCCAAGAGAGACCAATTTTCAACAAAAGGAGTTATCACACAAATCTTCGCAGCGATGCAACGAATCTCACCTGTCTCTCGGTAATATTTGAACAAGCTCTTGTAATTGTCTTGGAAGAAAAGATTTCCTTTCTTAGAAACCGCCACTGGCATAATCCAAAACCAAAACAGGGATGAAACAGGGTGGGAGAAAGTTAATAAAGGTATGGAGTATATCACACTCCATGTTTCTTCAACTTCTTTTGGTGCTTCCATGCTCCATATCTTAACGTTCCAATGATTGTTCTCAATATAGGAGTCAGCTAGGGCTAGACGGTTTTCAAGGTTTGCTACCTGGCATGAAGTTCCGAGTGCTCCTAACGGTAGTCCAACGTCACGCCACTCTAGTGTATGAAGATCCAAAGCTAAAAGTTTGTTATAAGGACTACCTTTTACCCAATAGATGGACCCATTTACACATGTCGACTTCCTTCTATATCCTACATCATAAGGAGGCGGACTCAGTTTCTGCCATGTCCCAATCTTAACATCAAGAATCTCGCAGCAACGATAAATCTCCCTATAATGGTTAAAGAACATTTTCACTATTTTATAGCTCCCACTCACATTGTCTCGACCGAATCCCATCCTCCAGTTGTATCCAGGGAAGACATCACATAAAATATCTGTGGTTTCATGTTTTCAGAGCTACCAATGAATCTTTATTTATACAAAAAAAAACTGTATATATATATTTACCTGAGTAACGATATTTAGCATAACGGTGAATCGGTGGATCTCGGCCAGAAGAGAATCTAAGAAACTCTCCGGTGGAAGGGTTGAAAACATTGACACAGCCTGTTACCGGGATGCAGACCAGACCGTCACATGACATTGACAGCGACGGTTCTGAGGTGAAATCACACTGTAGATAGACCATCTCTAACTCTTCGCCCCCTTTGAAAACTGGTGGGATTCGGTCCGCTACTATTTTCGTCTTGGTTTGAGCATTCATCATCATACGCCTCCTCTCCATGAACCTCCTCGACTCTAGTGTTGATCTCCATTGTTTTGAGAGGGTTTTGAATTTGAGGATGGATTTCAACGGAAGTCGAAGGAAGATCTCTTCCAGTAGCTCGGGAACTAGGTACATGTGATTAGGGTTATCGTCTTCCGCAAGTTAATTGTCTTTGACTTTTTTGGTTTGTAGTCTTAGAATATCCGTAGAGTTTTGTCTTAAACCTAAGTAGGGAAGTCAACAGGCTAGCCCGGGCCGTTCCAAAACCAGCAACATCCGTAAATATTTGAATCTAGTCTCGCCCGAATATATTTTGGATGTTTATCCTAAAGTCTGGCTTAACCCCAACAGAACTGTAGAGTTTTTTCGTGTTTTTGAAATTCTTAAAATAAATTATAGTATAACATTATCACTATTTTAAAACATCTAAATTTTCATAAGAATCAGTTATAATTCTTAGCTTTTGAATATCTGTTATTTTAAAATTTTCTTCTTTGATAATTTTTTTAAATTCATATGCTTTAAAAAAATAATATAAACAAGCCAAATTTAACAAAATTTAAATAAGAAAAAATTAAAGTAAAACTTAGTATAAAAGAGTCGAAATAATGGTTGGATAGAGATTTTCTCAAGAGGGGTGGATGAAAATGAACACTGATGGAGCGTCACATGACAATTCGGGATTGACTACTGCAGGGGGTGTTATCCGTAACGTTGATGGGAAATGGTGTGGAAGCTTCTTACTAAACATAGGAAGATGCTCCGCGCCTTTAGTGGAGTTTTGGGGAGTATACTATGGTTTAGTGGTTGAGTGGGAGAGAGGTATTAGGAGGCTGGGGTTGGAAGTTGATTTGAAAATGGTGATAGAGTTTTTCACGATAGGGATTGGGGATGTGTATCCGCTGTCTTTTCTGGTCTATTTGTGCCATGACTTTTTGATAAGGGACTGGTTAGTCCATATCATTGATGTGTTTAGGGAAATAAATCGTGTTGCAAATGGTTTAGCTAACCTTGCTTTTTCTTTTCTTTTTAATTTTCATAGATTTAATGATGTTCATTTGGATGTTGTTGTTTTACTGCAAGAGGATGTTGATGGACCTCTAAGACCATGACAAACTCGTTTGTAAGCTGAATATTTGAGTTTTAATAAATATTGGGAGTTTTACTCCCATCTTCCGACCAAAAAGTACTGCGCATTTTCGGAAAATATATGTTCTACAAACCTTTGTTAAGTCTAAATACAAATGGTGACAAATTATAACATAAAATTAAAATTTTGCATACGATTACAAAGTATTAAATCGAACATTAATTGGCAGCTCCGGGCGGATATGGTAACAGGTAGACTAGTTTATCACATATTATATATATATATATATATATATATATATATATATATATATTAACTTATAAGTTTGTGTTAACATCAGAGATGTATCACTCGAATCTAAATATCTATAAATATATGTTGTTAACAAATAACATATAAAATACAACTGTGTACGTAATCGGGTATACATTATACATATAATATGATTGATCGTTTTCATCAATCGTATATTTTGACATAAATGTAATCTCAAGATAATCAAATTACAATTTGATTTCATTTAAGTTGTAATTTCAATTTCTCATGGAAGGACAAAATTAAAAATACAGGAATACTCCCTCTGTTTTAATATAAGTGTCACTCTACAGCTATGCACACGGATTAAGGAAACAATTAATTTTACATATTTCCTATATAAAAACACAATTACCCACACACCTAACCATATTTTAACCAATAGAAAAACAAATTACATAATAAAATTAATAAATTTTGCATTGAAAACCGAAAACGACACTTATTTTATAATACCAAAAATTCTCTACAACGACACTTAATATAAAACGGAGGGAGTATTAAATAGTATAAGAAAATTTTGAATCTATATAAAATAAGACATATCCCTCCCCCCCCTCCCCCCCCCCCCCCCCCCCCCCCCCCCCCCCCCCCCCCCCCCCCCTCCATTCTCCTTCCGTAATCTCTTCGTTAATTTCTTCTATCTTGGAGTATTCCATTAATCTCTAATAATTTCAAACTTTCGTATATGGATTTGCCTCAGTTTTATTACAAAACTGAGGGTACTTTGGAGAGCATCCCCATGCATGATTCGCACGCATAGCACCATAGCTTATAATATTCTCCGTGCTGTTTTTTTTGTAAGAAACATCCTTCGTGCTAACTTTTTGATATGAAACATCATCCGTGCTATTTTTTGGGTGTGAAACATCCTTCATGCTTATCGTAATCGCCTCGAAAACTAGAATAATTGATAGAACGAGATATAAAACCGAGACCGTATTCAACGTCGCCATGAATCTTTAAGACGAAGTAAACTAAATGGGGTTTCACTTAGTTTTTTTGTTCATTTGTTTTTTTTTTTTTTGTAGATTTCGAAATTTTTATTGGTGCTTTATATAAATGGTTGATTGTGTTTGCTAAATAAAGTTAATAGTTTTAGAGGGTTACCTAGTTACGTAATTTAGTTTTACAATTAATTATAGCTATTTTTTGTTAGTTTTAACAAAAAAAAAAATTATCGTTATTAGTTTAATTAAATTGTGCATTCGTAAAGATATACGTGGGCGTTGAATTCGCAATAAGTCTTTCTTGTAATGATTATAAAATAGGATTTAAAGTTTATTTGCTAAAATCAGATGATCTAAAATAAACCTTCTGTTAATATCCAAATTTTCAACTCACTAGAATTGAGTTAGAAACAAAACTCACTAGGATTATTGGTTTATGGTTAAATTTACTCATAATGTTACATATTTTGACATGACACTAGATATCTTAAATTCTGGTTAGTGTCAATTCACAAAGTAATTTTTTTTTTATAACACTTGAACATGTAGTACTAATCTTTGTGATACAAAGCAAAAATTCAGAAATTAAATAGGATGTCAATAGACACCACACAAACAAAGAGAAAGAAAGAAAATCTCACCCACTCTCATTATTGTCGAGTTTCCATAGTGAGTAAATGCTGAAGCCAAGCCGGTGCATCTCGGGCGTTGTATGATTGGGATTGACCATTCTGGGTGAGACAAACCTCATTGCTGAGCCTCCAACGCGAGTAGATGATGAAGCCACACCGGAGCGTTAGGGGCGATGTAAGATTGATGACGAAGGTCGCGCGTGACGCTCAAAGCAATTGCCGCTTCAGCTTCATTGCGTTCGGGAAGGGCATGATCCAAACTCCATGAATTAATCCTTGCAAGGAGAAAGAAAATGCTGTGACGAATATGGCTGAGGCTAAGATAATTCGTCGTGGTAAAAGCATCATGTAGGGTTGCAGAGGCAGTCTCGAAAATAATATTCGAGAAATGTAGAGTATGCAAACAATCGACTGCCCAAAAGAGAGCCCACAAATCTGCCTCTGTCTTTGAGCGCATACATGAGTAAGCACGACGGCTATGTAAGATTGTGGACCCTTTTTCATCCCGAAGGATCCAAGAAGCACCCGCATTATGGCTTGAATGCACCCACGAAAATCCAACATTACATTTCACAAAGTAATTATTCTTACTAAACAAAAATGTATTTAATTTAAGTGAACTATAACAAAAACAACCGTTTGAAAGAATTTTGTTCATTGGTAATAATATTTGTTCAACTCGTTTTTGTATTCTACGTTTTTACAAATTTAACCAGAGACTTGGTAAACCGGCTAAAAAAATGTTGAAGTTTCTTGTGTAGTATAACAAGATCAAATTTTGTGTATAATGAACCTCAAAGCTTATTAAAGGGTGTTTAATTAGCTTATAAGCATATGTTTTCTAACAAAACTAATCACATAATCCACATGAAAGTAAACGTAAGAAGTCAAAGTTTGAAATCCAGACAGAGTCAGAGCTGTACGATAAAGAGACAGAGATTTGTTCGGGTATCATATATTCCTGTTTTGAAATTTTAATTATTCAAACCACAGCAACCGAAAGAGAGAAAACTTACTGTAATTAATTTCCTCGACAATACGAATTAAAATCAACTGGGCAACAAAAAGTTCAGACATTAAAATGCAACAACAAGTACAAACCAGAGATTAGAAGTCTAATACTGAAACTTTTAATAGTTTTAAAAGTCTTTTAAATATCTTCCTTGTTCCGGCGACATTAGCCACCACCTTGATAGGTGACAAGATCAATGAAATCTCCATCTTTCATCGTCAGCTGTGATAAATAATTAGATAAATTAACCTTAAATTGGTAAAAAAAAATTACAAGGGGAGGGTGGAATTTTAAATTAAAAGAAAAAGAGAAACCTGAGCAGGAGTTTGTCGTGGCTTGAGCTCTTTAGTACCGTAGATGAATCTGACAGTGGCTTTCTCTATGTTTCTCTTGGTGCAGCATGCATCCATCAGTTTCTTCATATGTGCATTATAACCGATTTTATAAACATCCTCTCTTCCATCCTTGTTTAAACCACACATGTGTACATTTTCAATTTTCTTTTAACTTCAAAAAGCATAGAAGATGATATTTTTCTGTTTATGGAAAGTTGCCAGATCGAGCAGGAGCAAGAACATAAGAGAAGTTTCTATTTAAGGAAAGAGAACACAACACTAAAATCTCAAGGCAACTATCTTGAAGATGCACAGAGAGAGAGAAAGACCTGTTGGCTCTTGACCGTGAGCGTAATCTTCTTTTGTGGGGTAGGAGATCGAGATTTCTTTGTTGCAGTAGAAGCAGAGAGCGTCGTTGAGGAACTCACCATTGTTGAGTCAACACAAAAGGTAAACTAAAAGAGTGAAACAAACGTTATCTCTACTCTAATAAGCTCTTAGGAGAATTTAGAGGTTTTTTGGTTTGTAGAGAGAGAGAGAAAGAGAGCAGAGTAAAAAGAAAAGTGAGAAGCTGATGAAAGTTAAAGATAACTTTTGAGAATTAAAGGACAATCCTCGCACAAGACTACTATTGGTCCATTCTCTCTTTTTTACTTTCCGTTTTTACCCTTGGTCTTGTCTTTCGTTACCTTTGAATCATCAACATCATGCATTGTTACACATCCCAAAGTACCAACAGTGCTTTGAAACTTGTACGAGTCAAAGGAAAATGCTTATAACGTATAAATTCAAACATATTTCAGATGTTACAAGTAAAATAAAAGGAAAAAACAAACAAAACAAAAAGTGATACATCTGTTAGAACTTATAAGAAACTAGACTACGCTTTCGTTTACTCTCCAATTCAATAACATCACACCTCATCCTAAAGTGAATGTCCATGTCTAAAACTTCTCTAACAAATAATTAATCTGACCTTTTATCTCCACAAAGTGTCTTGAGAAGATGTAAGAGACACTGAAGCGGTGTGAGAGCTGAGAAGGAATGGATCCATATACAAGAGAAGATAACAGTGTTGAATATCCGATCATCCTTATTTTGTCGTCATCATCATCATCATCATCAAAAATCTATATAGTCTGGACACTGGATGATTCGGATTAACTCCTTAAGATTAGCTAGAACCTGACGTGGTCCTAGACTATTTTCTCCAACAAAGTTCAGGAGTTGCTCGATGTTCTGTGATGTGATACTATGGTTAGATGAAGGGAGAAGTAAATGTGCATTGATCTCTTTCAAGAGCTTTATTTAACTAACCTTGTTTAATAAGAAGACAGCATAAGCAGCTCGAGTTGTATCTTGACCATCCAGAAACAGTGGGAACTCTACAAATGTAGCTTTTTCGGAGAGTGAAGAAACTGGAGACATATCAGAAGCTGAAGGCTCGGTGTAAGGCGCATAGTCCCGAATATATGTTTTGGAACCACCTAGGCGCAAAGGATACCGAATAGGCACTCCCAAGTAAGGAGCTAATAGGGACACGGCCTGCCAAATCCAAGCAGGGAGCCTTTAGTACTTTGTATCAAGAACTTTAAGCCAAATAGCGAGGAAAGAGAATGGAACACACATGAGCTACATATCCTAAGGCAGTTGCTGACTTCTGAACTTCTTTCTTGTCAGTGAAGAAGCTCATCTTTGTAAACGGGGCCATACTAAAAGGCAACCCCAAAATTCTCACGGATCCTTGACTCACATGCTTAGTTCCTACTAAAGCCATAGACAAGATATAAACAAGTCAAGAAGGTTAGATGCTGCAATAACGAAAAGGAAAATGTAGTGCTGAAATTACTATCAGACTGAATGACGGAAAAATACAGGTTATGTTGGTCTCGTTCTCATTAAAGTCTATCTTCTTACTTCTTATAATAAGCTTTTAAGAGTGATATTAAACAACTGACCTAATCTACTGCCACCTGGAAGTGATTCCAATTCTTGGTCTTGCGAAGGTCCAGCCTCGATTTTCAGTGGATAGATAAATGAAACTTGAGTTATCATGTACTGCTGCCTCTTCCTCAGCTTATTCGTTGCATTCTTTAGATGAGCATAACCACTCTCTCCTTCTAGTTGGCAGTTTGACTCCTGCAACAGAAAAGGAAGCTTAAATAAATTCTCTATTATTCAGTCATTCACAAACTGGTCATCTACAACAGAAAATCAGTTTGTAAAAACACCATAGTCTCAATAGGAAATGTACAAGTAATGCATCATACTGCTTCCTACAAATGTTTTTCTTTGTTTGCATTGAATGAGGTTATACCTGCAATTTGGTTTTAGCGATGGAAAGGGTTGTGCCACCAACTAGCAAAGACCTAACTTCTACACTTAGATCATCCTCTTTCTTTTTAACATCCTGCTCAGTAACTCTGCAAGCAACCGATGTCTTATCCACCATCAATTTCTTTGCTTCCAGCCTCTGACGCATCTCTTCAAGCTCATTACTACGTCTCAATGATTCAGCACTAACCTGCCCGAAAATTTAGCCGCCCGCTAATCCGCGGGCTAATCAATTAAAGCTCATCGAGTAGGCAAAGTAAGTGACAAAGCCACACAATAATCTTCTTATGGAGATAGTCTCAAACGCTAAGTAAGTGATGCACCAAAAACAAAACGCCGTGTAATGACCACACAATTGGTCCTCAACAACACATTAAAATTGCCGTAAGAGAATGCCACTAAATAAAAAATTAATGAATGCTTTCTACTCAAAGCCAGACATGCTCAAAAGAAACAATAAGACCAATAGCTTCGGTCCTCACAATAAACTTCTTACGGTGAAACTAAGGAAAAGGTCATAGCTTTGAATGAGTTTCTAGCTAAAGCTTCACCCACATTGCCTTAAGAAAATGCCACTAACTAAAAACGAATACTTTAAAAATCAAAACCAGACAAAGCTGAAAAGAAGAGAAGACATGGGTAAGAGAAAGAAACCTGAATAAGAGACTCGAGTTTTGGCTGAAGAGTTAGCTTCTTCTCTGTAGCTAACTTGAGAGCAGAGGAAAGACTCCACAACCGAGTGAGCTCATTGTCGAATTCCTCCCACTCTATAATCTTCACATTTTCTTCTTCTCGATCGCTTCTTCTCAGCTTCGTCGACGAACTTGGCTCTGTTTCTCTTTCCATCAACAATTTTCTCGGTAACTACTACGCAACGGTAGCTCTTGCATCAAGTCTTCGAATTTCATCACCAGTTTTTAGGAACGCGATGGATCGGAATAGAACAATCACAAACCCTAATTTTAACTGATCGGAATCGGAAAAAAAGTGAATCAATTGGCGGTGATTGGTTCTAAGGAAGAAGGCAAAGAAATGAGAGATCGAATTGGGGGATCAGATTGTGCAGAATGAAGAAGCTGCTCAGGCTTGATTCGTCCTCTAAATTTTTTTTGAAGTTTTCGCAGATTTTTTTTGAAGTTTTCTTAATTTAGGAAAGACAGAGAGAATCTCCCGGGTCGGATGTTTCCGGGCGGGTTAAACAGGAGGGACCGTTCGAACCGCGTAACTGATGCGATTTCTCGTGAAAACTGAAAAGCATGGTTCCTTTAACCGAAAGTTGTTTGTACCAAACCAATTATTTTCCTGCCGGTTATCTCGATTTTGGACCGGTTATTCTGATTCTGTTGAGTTGTCAATTTGGATTATTATCATATAACTTAAGAATAATCGAATAGCAATCTCAATTTTAGAGAAAAAATAGAAAAGAGACAATTTGGCACTAAATATTAATACCTCTATTCCTTAAAGATATATATTCTAGAAAAAAAAATTGTTTCTAAAAGATCCATTTTTGTACATTTTCAATACATGTTTTATTAACTAATTGTAAACTTCAAAAAACTAAGTTTCACTAATTAATTTTTTATTGGTTTAAAATTATGGAAAGAAAATAAATACAAAAAACTATGCAGATTTATTATGTTTTATTAAAAAATGTGAGAAAACTAGAATCTATATCTTTTAGGAACAGAGGGAGTAATAAAGAAACAAATATAGGGGATAACTGAAAACGCTAAATATTAATATAGAAATAAATAAATTCTGAAAAATAAGAAAGATTGATTTTATAACTCTTGTGAACCATTTATGTAAATTAACTATTAGAAGTAGGATTCTATAGTTTAAAAAAAAAAAGAATATCTATTGTTTTTTTAAGGAAGACTTTATACTAGTTAGCAAAATACTTTTTAGTAGGTATGTATATATTGTAAGAAATCTCTGTTATCTTTTTGAAGGAAGATTTTATATTTGTTAGCAAAAGACATTTTAGAGAGTGTGCATTATGAACCATTTATGTCATTCCTAGATATGTGTCACTATCTTGATTCTTGAATAATGATGACACTCTCCCAAGAACCCTACTCACCGCAATTTCAAACGCATCTTCAATCCTGTCCGGTCCTACATCCCCCGGTTTTGCATAGATTATCTTCGGTATAATCGTCTCAACCTCATTCCTCATACTCAAAATCTCTTCTTCACTAATCATACTCAATACCTTCTCAATACTAACCTTACCATCTTTTACATCTTCTTCTGAAATGTAAACCGAATACTTGGTATGATCATCCGGGAAATGCCACTCGTACTGAACCGAATCAAGGCTAAAGAAAACCGGTATACAACCGGCTAAAACCGAATCAAAGGTTGATCTCCTTGTAGGTGTATCTCCTGGTGGTTGTAAACAGAACACTGAATCTTGAAACACCTCAATTACCTTAACCGGGTTACCACAATCTTTACTTGGTGTATCACAATTAAGAAACTTGCATCTTTCTTGTGACGCAAGGCACTGTTTTATAACCTCTCCTCTTATAGATTCCTCCATTTCAGGCCTTGGAGCTCCAACAAACGAGAACAAATATCGTCTCTGAACCATTCTCACTTGCCTCTGCCATGTCTCAACCTCGGTTCTGGTCTTTGGATGGAAGTAAGTTGGATAAGGAACCGCAAACTCGTTGCTGAAAGAGTTTGTCTCAATAGATAACATCGTCATGTTCTCAAACTCAGGCAAACGCATCAGTTTGTTTCCCCAGTCTGAATCTTGATCAGAAGCCCTTCTAAAATCCCGACCAACCCGTCCCGTGACAAAGAAGTGATCCCGTCCGTGCATTTTCCTCCACTCAGGTCTCTCCCTAAGCCATTGAGCAAGATCTTCACCGAGTTCGTCTCTGAGCTTCACGTTGTATCCCCAAAAGCGTCTCACGTCGAAGCCAGCGTAGAACGGGACGAAGATCGCTGAAGAAAGAGAGGAATCGTTGGTCAAACACTCGTAGTGTCTCATTTTCTCTCTGAAGATAACCTCAAGCATGAACTGATTGGTCGAGTACCAAGAACCGGTCTCTGTGGTTAATACACGAGTTGTGTGGTTATGAATTTCAACCTCCAAGATCGGTGGACCGAAGCCAGAGTTAACCAGGTACTTACACTTATTGCGTAACTCGACATATGATTCACAACTTTCTATCAGATCATCATTGAATCTACTAGGAAGATTGTGGATATAGACATACCTTCCGGCACAAGTATCTGTTTCTCCTTGTTTAGTCTTCAGAGTGATATTTAGGGTTTCTTGGTTGATGTGAGGGACGAAGAGTATACTGAACACAAGTATTGGTAAAATGTGTATCCAAAGATCTGGAGCTTGTTTTCTTACAATCTTCTTCTTTCTTGGATTGAATTTCTCCATTGACTTGATTGAAGATGGTGAAACATTAGTCTATTTTGTGAAGATAAGCTTGTTTTACAGAAAAAAAAATTAAAAGAATGTTCTTCCACTTGGTGGAGATCTGAATCTTTAATTTTTTTTCTTCTCTGTGCATCAATTAAGATGGTTTCCTATACTTATTTTTTGCATTAGACCACATGTATGATGTGTCTGAAATATAAAATGACACTGTCCCAAATATTTTAGGAAATTTATATAGATATGGTTAGTGCTATTACCTAATGAAACACGTCAAGCTTATATTGATACAATCATTCAAACTCAAATGTTTTAATATGACCTTTAACACTTTGACGAATAAAATAACACTACTAAAGAAAGACCAAAACTAACATATTAGAACATCATTATTGGTGGATGTTTCACCAAAATTGCAACTGGATTATCAATATTTAGAATAAAATAATATAGAATGATTTATTTAATCAATTCCCAAATACTTTTAACCATTTAAATTAAATGGAATAGAAGTCATTCCATCAATTCCATAAACAAATATACAAAATACAAAAAAAGTATTACATAATAAGTTTGATGAAAATGCATAAAATGAATCTATTCCATTTTGTACTATATTCTATTTGTTACTTTATTAATTTATATTACATCAGTTCTTACACATATTTATCAGTTATTTAACAGAAAACAAATAATTTGTTGATGGGAAAACATTACAAAATCAAGAAAAATTATTTATCATTTTGTTAGTGACTTTACCTTTTTATTTAATATATAATAATAATATAACTAATTTATATACCATATTAATTATATGAATTAAATGCTTTAAGAAATGACTTCCAATAATTTACTCCATTCAGTTGATAGACTTGACATCCGATGGAATGAATGCAGAGTTGGAAGTTAGATATTTGAAGCCACATGAAAACGAAATGACACAAAACCTTAAAAGTTCAAAATAATCATTAAAAGAAACGAACACAAGACAATAGTTGAACTTGATTCCAATTTCAAATGACAAGAAGCAGTACCAAAAGTTCAAAGATTCTGCGTCTCTTTTATCTCAGCTTTAGTCTTTCAAGCAGAACCAACAACACATTCCCACTAATTTAAAAAAAGAAACTAAAATCAGGTAGCGTATTCAAAGGCCTGTGGAGGTTGTGGCTCATCATCTACAGCCATAGCAGAGGCTGTGGTTCCTTGTGTAGCCGCAGCTGCACCAGTTGCAGGAGAAGCTGTTGAGGTTGGTGCATCGGTCAGAGATAGAACCTCTGGCTCGTGTTCACGTAAGTCTTTGAGAAGAACGAAACCCGATGGAGCTAGCTTCACTGGCACGTATCTGCTGTCTTCAAGTAACTTTATGTATTTCTCCTGAGCTGGGACTACTCTAGCTGGGTTTACTAGAATCTCAAACGCTGCCTCTGGCTCTGCAGCTTTCTTCTCCACCGTTGCTGTGCTATCCACCTGTCAGTAAAGTGTGACTAATTAGGCAATCAATCAATCACAGAAGCTACTAGAAGAGGCTAGAAACATTACCTGCATAGAGTCTCCTTCCTTCTCAGTTGCTTCTTTTCCTTTTCCAGATCCACTTTCACTGACAGATGCTTTTTCAGCATTAGCTTTCTGCTCTGCATCTTTCTTAGCCCTAGCTTTGGCTTTCACCGAGGTTGAGAGAACAGCAGTTGGAAGTTTGGCAGCGGTGTTGGCTGTAGGCACTGTGGTGGGTTTTGGGTACTCAAACAAAGACGGTTTTGCATGTGACATGAACTCAAACTTGGGGACCTTAAGGTCGTAGTTCAAACCGATGAACGCTGTTGGTGAGAAGGCCAAGCTAATGAAGTAGATCAGAGGGTACCAATACCAAAACTGGCTGAAGACAGCGAGACCAATAACAGCAGTGACTTTGTCATGTTTGGTCTTAGAGAGCAATCTTATAGTAACGTTCCTACCACCGGCATCGAGGATACCAGAGGCTAGAATAGCTCCCATCTTGCTCATTGTGTCTTCGTGCTTGTCGAGTATGATCTTCTCAAGTTGGCGCCTACAAAAACATATATAAAAACTCTTAGTCCACCAATAATTTTCTCTAATCTCCCAATGCTGAAGAGAGATAGATATGTACTAACCTAAATGTTCCAACACGAGAGTCGCTTGCTTCGCTGATTTGGACCATCACCATGGCCATTGCGATCAAAGCACCTTGACGAACAAAGTCAACCACATCTGATGTAAGTGGCTCCAACAAGGATATTGCTTCGCTGAGGCCAGTGCCTGCACAAGAGATACCGACTGCAAGTGCCGCTCCATAGCGAACATGTGGGTTGTACGACTCGGAAAGTAATGATACAATACGAGGAGTCTACAGAGAAGACAAAAAAACAACCAACAAAGACAATTAGCGAGGATAAGAAAGACACAAGATCCCTGACTAAAAGAAACAGAAGTTAGTGGTAACAAGGGAGCAGCTGAAACTGACCTGCTCTGGATCAGAGTACAAGACAAATCCAAGTGCCAGAACGGCAGTTCTTCTAACATCATCACTAACATCAGATACAGCAAAGTGTAGCAATTGGCGAATTGCCTTATTGTTTGCTGTTCCACTGTAAGCCAATGCCAGTGCGTACATGCCACCATAACGGATAATAGGATCTTGGTCTCTTGTCATCTGCTCAATCAAAGTGTCTGCTCCCTCTTCTCTTCCATATACTGTAAGAGCTATACCTAGAGCCAATCCCCTAAAAGAAGCATACCAGAATGCAGATTAGCGAAACGTTAGATCAAGATATATTGGACCCTCATCACCAAAAAGATTTCCTCCATTACCTTATTATCTTCTCGTGCTGTGTCTCATGAGCATAAGCGAGCATCTCACTTGCCTTCTCAGTCGCAGTTCCAACCAACAATAAACCCATGCTGATGCCAGCAGCTTCACCAGCAACCGCACTGTCAGTATAAAGCACGCTTTTGACATCATCATATATCTCTTCATCAGCTGTCCCAAGAGCTGACAAACCAAGACCTAAGCAAGCTCCATGTTGAATAACCTACATCCATATTGTCGGATTTCAAATTATCTCTGAACAACGCGGTTGACAAGAATTGAGAGGCTATATCAAGTAAGATCTCAAACTAATCACCTCAACATTGGTACTGCGTAAGCTGTCACGTAGGAATTGCTTGATGCCCTCGCCATGGTTGGCATGGATAAGGCCGAGGGCATAGAGAGCCCCTCCTTCGGAATAAGGACTTCCACCACCACCTGCTCCTCCTTGAGGCAAGTATGGAGCCATCAATGACCTACCCTGTTGCAGATGACCTCTGTGAATAACACCTAATCCCGCCGTAGCACTGAACTTAGCCCAATTGGTGGCCCTGCTTAGCCAATCCTGTCAATTAAGAGAAGAATAAAAAATGAGAAGGGAGTTAAAAACATTAAGCCCACACACAGTCAACTTCGAACATAAGAACAATATTTTAGTGGGAATCAAAATTTACCAAATTCTCTCTAAGGAAAGTGTCCACTGTAGTTCCAGCATGCATGATGGCATTAGCATATATAGTAGCACTATGGCAAACACTGTTCCGCATCTCAACCGACTGTTTGATTGTCTTCAGTATCAGCAGGTCCGATCTACAGGAAGGCAATATATCAATGAAGCATATGATTACTTCCTGAGATAAACAACTTTAGAAGAAAAAGTATCTCATTCTAAAATATCCAAACTTTAACAGTAACTTACTTGTTGTGGCTGTAAAGAAACTGAAGAGTCAGCTGAATAGATGTCTCTCCAGATAAAATTCCCTTAATCTTGGTTAGCCTTTCAGCATAGGTAGCATCAACTGGATCGGTCTCATGCACAATAGTTGGAGTTGGGGCTGGAGCTGGGGCTGGGGCTGGAGCTCCATCCGCCATCTGAACATCCCCCGAAGGATTCTCATTTGGAGCATCAGTAATTTCAATGGCCTGAACTGTTTCTACAGGGCGTGTTTTGGGAGCAGGGAGGCGATCTCTAACACTCAAGAGAAAGGCCTGGTGCTCGTTCTCCACAAGATCGAATGCAATTTGCAAGGCTAACAAAGCATCGTCCTTGCTCTCTGAGCGAAGAAGCTTCTCCAATATGCTTGCAACACCTTGTGGTTCATCCAAAAACATGAGGCATTGACAAATGCTCAAATAATCAGGAGAAGGCAGCTGCTGGTAGACTTTAACAAGTAAAGTAAGCACCTGGAAGAATAGACAAGGATGTCATCAGCTTTCTAAATAAGACTAAACTAAAATACGCTAGACAAAAATAAACATGAGAGCGAATTTTCAATACAAAACACATCTCGGATAGGCATCACGAATGGAACATGATTTCAGCTACAGCTTAGAGGCGGAGAAAGTCTAGCAAACTGAGATTACATGTCACTACTAAATGATCATAATATCAGCTACCATACTGTTGTACTCAATTAATAGTATCCGAACATCTATCTATTTTCTATTCGATTAAACTCTGAAACCATTAGTCTTACCTCATGCCTATACTCTCTGCGGTTAACAAAGGAATGAGAAACATTGATGCAGTACGATAAAGTCCCCTGAACATTATCGCTCTTTGTGATAGCTTCCTCCAACTTATCCAATCTCCGGCATTCTATCGCAATGCCCATGGCCTGTTGATACTTCCCATCAGTGATGCATCTGCAGAAGAATACTAAGATTAGTTGAGGCACTAGAATAATTAGAGCAATAGATGTGTCGGCATACATACTTCTCAAGCATTCTTTCAACAATGGCCTCCAGCCTGGGATCAATGTCCACCATATCATTTGACTCGACTGCCTTTGATCTGAGACTGGCATATTCATCTATTGCTTTGGCTGAAAACATAACAGAAGAATCTGGTGAGTGAACATTCATCCAACTTCGATATATTCCTGTCTTAACATGCATATTGCAGTCAACACTACCCTAGCTAGTCTCTATTGTCAACAAAGAAAAAGAGTAAAAACATAAACAAGATTCTCAATCCTCACCTAGAAGCGTATGAACATAATCAGTATCTTCTGAAACATCAAACTGGGGTCCGGCTCCAAGGGCATAGGACAACGAATCATTAAGCTCGCCCAAGTAGTAGAAAACCTGAGACAAGATTCGACATCAGCAAGAGAAAACTTTCAGAATAAAAATTACACTTTCCCGCTAACATATATACACTTAATATTATCTGTAACCAGACACCACTTTAAGTTAGCAAACGCTGGACCATACCTTAGACACCAACAAAGCCGCAAGCTGTCTTTGATGCAAATCGAATTCTTCATCTTCATATAAACTCTCACTGCAAACAACAACATCTCATGAGTCAAAGCAGTGCAAATAACCACTGTAGAGATCTAACAACTAATAGTTTCACAAGACCTATGTACCACTACAACCTGATCTGATATGTATATCTCAACTACTAAACTAAGATATGATATTTCTCACTCATAATTGACAATAATCTTTACATAAACTTGTTAAAGCTAATCTTTTTCTTAACCTAACAATCAAATCTGCATTAATTTGAACTTAATATACCCAAATCGAGAAAACCCATTCACAAATCGATCTCAACTAATCCAAATCCACAACCTTTACTCGAATTCTCAAGAACCCAAAAACAGATCAAAAACCCTAATTCTCAAACAAGAAAAAAGTTACATGATTGGAACGCTAGTGGAGATCTCGGGCCAGAACCGATCAACCAAGTTGTTGAGATGCGTGAGCGCGTGATGCTTCAACGAAGGCTGAGGCTCGTTGAGCATTGCCAGTAACCCTCCCGCTGAACTAACCATAACGGCGGCCATTGATGGAAGAACTCTAATCCAAATCGAAAAACCCTAAAAAGAAATCAAATCTCCGAAGATGAACAAGAAACTCGTCTTGAATCTATCTACTCGATTCGAAAGTGTTTTGAGTTGGAGAAGAAAGAAGAAAGGGACTTGGATGCAAAACTTAAACGAATATGTTAGACTTACCCAACAAGTCAGGTAATTATGAATTTTCCCCAAATGTATAATGTAATTACATTTTAGTCTGTTTTGTTTTTGAAATGAAGTATAGGTCCCTGGTAATTATAAGATTTACAAAATGTGGCTAATACTTGTCGAAAATGGTTGGTGTGTCCAAGTTTAATTTATTGCATTAACCTTCACCTACCGATCTTGAATGCAAACGGCATAATTGGTACACACAATCGCAGCATCTGCAATGCCCACCCACCCCCACCTACCCAAACCGGGAATAGTAAACCAATGAACCCATCGGTTTAACATTGGTACATGTGTTTGGTGAAAATCGGTTATTGAGTACCAAAATGTGACAACCGACAAGAGAGAGTGTTTTAAATATTTTTAATTAATTTATAGATGATTTTGGTTATATTAAATTTTTAAAATGATTTCTGGTTAAACAATTTTAGATTTCTAATTAAAACTATGAGATTTATAATTTTATGTAATTAGCTAAAAAAAATCATATCAAAACACTAAAATATTATTATTTTTTCTAAATTTCCTTATTTTAATAAGTGTTAGACTGTAACGAATATTTTTAAAATTGAAAATTCAGTTCAGTAATACCATATTTTGTAAAAAAATATTAAATTTACATTTGAATAACAGATAACTTGTTAATTTTGTATACAATACTCCGTATTCTAGATTTAATACATTCCTACTATTTGAGGACAAATTCACAATCCAATTTTAACTAAACCGGTTCTGATACAAACCAAACCCAACTAAACCAGATTTCATAAATCGGTCCCAGCTCTCAACAACTCTTTCCTCTCGGTTTCCTATAAAGTTTGTATCTTTAAATCTCAGTGTCAGGTTTTGGTGGGGAATTATTGTGGTGAAGAAGAAGAGGCAAAGCAATGGGGGAGGAAGCAAAGATCTTTACTCTTTCAGAAGTTTCAGAGCACAACCATGCTCATGACTGTTGGATCGTCATCAATGGAAAGGTTTCTTTCTTCTTCCTTCTTTTTCTCAGCTCTCAAACTTAAGGATCTGAAGTCTCAGACTTTTGAGTTTGAAATATGCATTTTTTACTTAATTTAGATACAAATCTATTTAGATACAAATCTTTAGATGGGTAAAGTGGTCAAGGTTTTTTTTTTTTTTTTTGAGCAAGTGGTAAAAGTTGTAATCATCAAACAATGCTTAGGATTCAGCTCTTTTTGATCCATTTATATGATTTTGAACTGAAGATGGACAAATGTAGAAGTAGCTCTTCTTATTACATCTCTGTTTTCAGTGATTAGCTATTACGTTAATTGGTCCTGAAGATGGATCATTTTGGTCCTGAAGATCGTATTGACAACTTCTTTCCTATCATTTCAATTTGATTGGTTTGTGAATTGCTTAGATTATCTGCTTCGATCACAGGACAAAAAAGTTGGAAACCTTAAACATTTTTGGTGTGTTGTCTTAATTTGGATCAAATACGCAGGTGTACAATGTAACCAAGTTCCTTGAAGACCATCCAGGTGGTGATGAAGTTCTCTTGTCTTCAACAGGTCTGTATAAACATACAACTATCAAAACCACTTGGTCTTGATCAATCAATACATAGCATTTTGATATTGATTCTTCTCCTTTTAAAGGCAAGGACGCAACGGATGATTTTGAGGACGTGGGGCATAGCGAGAGCGCAAGAGAGATGATGGAACACTACTACGTTGGAAAGATTGATCCCACAACAATCCCAAAGAAAACCAAGTACACACCTCCTAAACAGCCTCACTACAACCAAGACAAGACCTCCGAGTTCATAATCAAGATCCTCCAGTTCCTTGTACCCCTTGCCATTCTCGGTTTGGCAGTTGGGATTCGGATCTACACCAAGTCAGGATAGTCTTCTTTTTATCTGACCATTACTTCCATATAATATAGAGATGTAAGTCTTTTGAGAAGACAAATCTCTAAGTCTCTCCCTTTGTTCCTGTCTCTGTGTTCCCATCTTTTGTTGTGTGAACGTGTTTTGGATATTTGTTGTGATGAAAGTTGCATTTAAACTGCATTCTTGCAGAAATGCTACTGATATTGATCTAATATTATTCATATTGTTAAGAATTTTGAAGATTATAACACTTTCTTAGCTCGCAGTGTCAAAAGATGAATCTATAGAGGAGAAACTAACCAAGAAGCTCACTCCGAACTTATATGATACTTGAGAACACGTAGTTAACTTTGTTTGCAGTAAATAGCTTTTGGCAGTTACTTCATTGAGTGTGTGGAAGTTGGTGATTTGAGCTCAATAGACCACATCCCAACACAAAGAGTCCAAAACTTGTTCTGTAATTGTGGGTCTTTGTTTTGTACCTCTCCACCGCTTTGGCCGGAAGTCGCAAAGTTAGATACTAACTAACTTCGACAGCAACAAATTTCATTTAGCTTTGGCAAAGGTTTCAACGACGTCGTGTCGAGAACACAGATCAATACAATCACAAAAGAAAAGAGTTTTGTGACGATGTTACGATGATAGATCAAAAGACGATCACAATGATGATGAGTAGTGGGCACGAACTTTACATATTAAGATAAAACAGTGGGCACAAATGACTAAGTGGAAAGTACAATGGACACAACACACACACACAAAAGTGACAGAAAGATTCTCTTTCTAGCACTTTTGATTTTAGTGAGAAAGCCAGAGACAAAACAAATACCACTATAAGACACTATTCATATCCATAACATACAGGGTCTCTGTCTCTCTATTATCAGTATAATATTTGCACGTATATATTTGTATGTAACTGACCTTTCATTTTGATGTTATATGTCTGAAGAACACAACACATGGACCATAATGATGATGAAGATAAGAACAAGAACTCAAGATGAAGTAAGAGAAGAAAGACAGAGAAGGGATAAGTCTTTATTGAAAAGAGTTTTGAAATCAGTACATGTATACACACAAATGGATAGATATTAAAAATGGTTACAGGACAAAGAGTTATAAGATAATGCAGAGTCCCTGTACCAGAAAAAGATTTCACTACACCATTAACTGAAAGAACTCTAAACCCTAAACAGACTTTGGGTTAACCTTCTCTTTATGGTTTAGTACTACTACTAAGGTGATCTGTTTAGACCTGAAAAGGATTGGTATCAGTTCTGTGTTACACAAACCCCTTTTCAGCCACTTATGTTACAGACACCAATTTAAAAACTTTACATGTTGGAAAAGTTAAGAAACGGATGATGGAAATAAAAGATCAAACCGATAATTAGCAGGAAAATGTTAACATAGCCTGTATTAACTATTAACCCCCCACCCTTTCGTTTTGTTGTCTCTAATCATCTACCTTCTTCCATTCATACCGTCCTGGTAGTGGTTGTTCGTTCACAGGATCAAAGTTGTACCTGGACAAAAAATGAGTTGAACAGAGCAGATTAAAATGTGAAACTCATAACCAAAAGGGTCTAGTTACTAAAAAACAGAACAACTCATACTTGTCAATGAATTGCTTTTGTTGTTCTTCTTCAGCACCGGAGAAGAACTCGTCCATTTCAGGTGTAGTTGGTCGATGACCACGGGTACCTGTAAAACTCTCTTCTCTCTCGTTGCTGTTGTCACTTGCACCATTGTTAAGCTTTGGAGATGATCCCGGGCTTGTGGTGGTTTCCGGTTTTCTCATCAAACTGCATGGCGTGGATTCCCTTGTGGTCCTGTTGAAACTGAGAGTAAGTAATAGGTTAGTTTCACATAATGCTCTCAAAGGATAAAAACAATTAAACTATGTTTCCCTAATTAGTACCAAAAGCCAACAAATGTTTATATCCTTTAGTTATAACTTACTAAAGCTAACCAAGCCACACTCTACTGAAAAATGGATAATGAGTAACGTCTTGTTGATACCATTGCAGAGTAAAAAGATCTCAACTTTCAACTGACCCTTAACATAAAAAACTATCAAACAGCGACAGAGCATAGCATCCAAGCATTTCTACAACCATAAATAAGAACACTCTGCATAACCCCACAGTTAACAAAGATAATCAACGGTGATAAGAGACATCTCATACACAAATACATCAAAGAGAAACCAATTGCCACTATCACCTTCTAATTAGATGCATAAGTAATTCAAGAAGACAAGTAAAAATAAATAAAAACTTTATCAAGAAAATAAATAAATTTTGATTAACATATGTAATTCTTTTCCGGAAACAGAGAGAAGAGACTGGTGTGTCAGTATAAAGAAGAGATGGCATCATATCTCATACACAAGGTAAACAAAAATAAAACATTAAATTTTCATAAATAAATTGTTAAAATTCAAAACTTTAAAGTACAAAAATTGAGAAAATAAGTTAAAGACTAAAAAAGATTATACCTTTCACTACCGTGAAGCTCATCCAAGTTGATTTCACCATTAAAGTCCTTAACTTTACCACACACACCACTCTCAGCAACCGAATCCGACCTCGACCCATCACCACCACCCGACCCACGACCCGAATCAACATTTTGGGAACTAGGGTTTCTCACCCTCCTCTGCTTCTTCCTCCGACGAATCACTACAATTGGCGGCTTCTTCTGTAACCTACGACTCCTCAGCTGAAGATAGCCGCAATCCGTCGTCATCTTCTGTTTCGACGGCGAGGAGGAGGAAGACGAGGGTTTTTGAAGGCGGCGCTGGAGAGCTAAGGACTTAGCTCGAGTGAGAACACCGAGAGGAGACGGAGAGACGTCCATTAAGGGTAGAGATTCTCCGTCGAGTTTGCTCTTTTTTATGTATTTCCCCATTTTCCCGACGCTTTTCATGGAAAGCTCAGAGAGAGAGAGAGAGAAAAGGATCGAAGATTGGAGTTAGGGTTGAAGGTGGTGCTGTGTGGGATCCACTCTCTGTCTCTCTTTTTTATTTGTTTAATTTTTATTTAATCATTTTCAGGTGGCTGCTTCTTCTACACTACTACACTGTACTTTACTATTTTTTTAATTTTTTTTTTATTGAAAACTTGAGTGTAATAATTTCATTGTTTATAAATGGAAATGATGACGTGTATTTATTCTTTGTAATGAACGTATTTCTGGTAGAATAAAACTTTGAGTTGCAATTCTCACTTTAAATGAATAATAATGTTTGTGTTTCGAAAAAAAAGTATAATAATGTTTGCTTCAAATAGATGTCCAACGTTAGGAAAGGTTTCACGGCTACGCAATCTGAATTAATTCGAGGATTTTGTAATATAATTTTTTTTTTATATCAGCAGATAACTTAAATTTAAAAAGAATCAGTTGAAAACTTATTGTACTTGTTTTTTACTGCATTTTGTATATAGCACAAGGAAAAGCTTTTGATCTCATTTAAGGAGTGATCGAACTTATTTTGGAATGTCAACTTCTAGTGACTAGCATCACTGACCTGTGAGCGTCAGAGTAATTAATTACTTTCACTGAAGCACAAGGATGCGATATAGAGTTGTGCAAGTGCAATTACCAAGTAATAATGAGAGCATATATACAAGATTTTCAAATTAGGACTAGTGGTCTGTGGTTAATTTGTTGTTTGATGGAGATGGTTTATTGATAAATATTTACATTAGAAAGATCGGTTTTTATAAAACGTCACGGCGCAAATCCCTATAGGATGTAACTTATAAGAAAACGTACACACAGTTATAGACACGTTCAAAACGAATTAAATTTGTCCTTTAATTTTCTTCTGTCAAACCCCACTTTCAAGTCTCAAGTGGAGTCGAACTCCTTTAGGTGCGAGAGGATGACAATAGTGGATGGATCACACACTGTAAAAAAATTACAACTAAAGCCTACTTAGCTCTGTAAAATTGTGAGCCCATTCATCCTTAATGCTAATTTCAAAGTTATAACATGCTTAGTATGTAGTTACAATGTGTATGTTTAGATTTTTGTATTGATCAACCTAAACCAACTAACCAAGTGTTTTTGTTTAGATGACTTTGATTAGGATCATCCTACAAAAATTTCACTTTTCTTTTGATGCAAACAACTTATCGATGTTAGCATTAAACAAAGAATTAGGCTAAAAAATAGTCCTGAGCTCTGCTTTTTTTTACTTATCTTTCTTGTAAGCTAAGAACATGCATATTTTTACTTCCACATCTCCAAACTGTTCGGTGTCTTCCTGTAGCTATTAATCCTTGTTATAAGAAAGTTGAATATAACACTGCTCCATAGGCTATGCAAGAAAACACTAAAGCCATTAAGATTCTTATTACTGGAACAAAGGATAGATTGTTAGTAGCATTCTTCTGAGAAAATTAAGAAACATACCAGTTGGTTTGCTGACGATGCCAGACCACTTATTCCATCAGAACCATACATAAACTGTAGACGGATCCACTTGCAGTTGTCTTGGAGATGCATTAACTTCATTTTTACCCATGATAGTGTGCTCCTGACTTAAGAAGAGACATCCTTGCGTCCATATGAGGTTGAAATGTCTCACTGTTCACTGGATTCGGCTGCTTCATACGTGTCTCGTACATTTTTGCAGCGACAGCACTGGCATTTGATTGCCTAAGCATTGCTTCGGAACCAATACCATTCATTGGATCCCCAAGAGAAGGAGGATTAGGGTCCCTACGCTGCATCTGAGCTTGCCGAATCATCTGCATTTGAAGTTGTTACTCCTTCGCTTTACCTTGTTGTGCCTAAATTCAAAAAGCCACTTGTCTGCAACCAAACTGAAAAAACATATCTCCAGAGTTGTAGATAGCCAAACCTCTATATAAGCTGCAGCAGCCTCAGAATGTTTCTGATTTTTCCTAGCAATGAAGATGTCCCAGAACACAGACCACCACTCAAACAGATAATTACTTATCGACAGGATCAGGGGAGACTTTCCCTTCAGACATAAAAGACTTTGCAGTGTTGTGCAGTTTCTTCTTCACCAAATAATCATGTATGTATACGTCAAGCCTACATAGTCAACAAAAAAAGTATAAATATGGGCATTAGTATTTCAGCGCTCACAATGCATATATCTTCTACGTTCTGGCTCGAGTCAAGGCATTGTTCACTCAAAAAAAGGAAGAGCCAAGGCATTGTTTAGACTAGCAGATGATGATGTGAATTGGTTCAACCCTGTGAACAGGTCCATCGCCTTAAACCTTCTTAGAGACTAGAGAGCCCTTGAAGTTATGAACATTCTTTGATCTGTTTGTTATATATATTACTCATGAAGGAAGAACAAGTTAACAAGCATACGTTAGATAGCTTTGTTACCTTCTTTTTTACCATCTTGATCAAGACAATATAGATTAGTTAAAACACGTGTGTGACGAGAATCAGATCATAAGATTTAGTAAGTTAATGCTCGAAATACTAGTTAGATATAAATATTACAAAATACAAGTGATATATATGTATATAGATGTGTGTGTTTTGTGTTGTGATTTTAACTTTCAAACGGAACCAGTTGGTTATGTTTTATGAAACCAATCGAGATGCTGAATTTCGGATCTCGTAATTTATACTTCATCTGTTTTGTAAAAAAGTATCTTTTGACACTTTTTGTTACACAAAAATATCATTTTGACAATCTAGACATGCTTTGAAGTTTAATTGTAAAATACAATATTTTTATAAATCAAATTGTTTTATCTCAGACACTATTGATTAAACATATATAACTATTATAGAATATAAATGTATTTAACTTATTTTTAAATTTCTGGGAAAAATGTCAAGTAACATGCTGTGTAAAGGACGAAGCAGCAATTAACAAGAGAATAGCATAATTCAATGCGAATCAGTTTAGAAATTGATACGATGTTACATAACCCAGTCATTAGGAATGTAATTTGTATTCGTATGTCTATATTATAATCATAAGTGACGAATCCAACATTAAACCTTGTTTTCTAAAAGTAAATGGTGCATGTACATAAAACCTTGCCTAACTGTTTTTCTTTCTTTGTTGGTTTGGACAATGAAAAGTTAATAAAGTTTGGTTTGAATCATTAATGACACAATAAATGAGAACACATCTTTTTCACTAAATGAGATCACATTTAGCGTTTGAATAATGCAAAAGGGTCCTTAAATTATTGAGGTGCTTATAGAGTTATAGTAGATCATGTCCAACTATAAAAGGAAAATTAATGCAGCCACGGCCGACGATTAGTCAAACTTTATGTTTTTATAAGGACACAATTTATTTTGGACCAATTCACCCATTAGTTTTTTCTCTCTTTTGGTAAATATCGATGTAATTTATCTATTTTTTAATTTGTGAGGGATCATATATATATGCATGCTAGCTATGAGTCAAGAAATGGCACATTTATTGTATATATTTGTAGCTGATTATTGAAATGAACATGAACCAATTATTAAAAAAAAATACATGTACTAAGTCTATATCCTTCCATTTCAGGTATTCAGTTCGAACTTTTATCGGATACTGGTACATACGATTCATTGTCTATATGCGTATTTATATATCATAGATTTATCAATTCTTGAAATTATTTCAGTTTCTTGTTATGTTGGATGAGATCAGATCAAATGTGCAGTTGGCAGACATAAATAAATTGTCCTACGACAGGTAGACCTCATTTAATTTGATTGGTGTCCTCAACCAATTATATTATCTTTGGTCTGCTACAAGTTTGAACACCCGGTTTATTATGTCCTAACGATTATAATCATTATATACGAGACAGCTTAACTCTGAATGCATATAAGTTTATTAGCATTGATCCAAGATTCAAAACCATTCATAAATCATAACAATCTGAAAATGATTAGACTACCTATGGGGAATCTGTCAATCAAAAAACTCGATAAAGAATATGGAGACCCGAGATAAACTAAACTAAACCGGACTTAACTAAAGACCAATATAGAAAGATGCGAACCGGTTATGTATTAACGTAATCACGAGTATATGTTATGCCTATAAAAACAGACCAAGACTAGGCTTCACTGGCACAACAGTACTCATCCTTCCATATCCATCAAATAAAACTCGTGAAATTATTTTGTTCATTCCGAAGAACCACTTAATTATGGGTTTAATTGCCCGTAAGTTGTGTGTGTTTATCTTTGTATTCGCCATTGTGGCCGAATTTGCGTTCGGAAATGTCGAGGTTAATGAGGACAAACACTTTTTTCACAAGCCTCGTCCATACTTCCACAAACCACGTCCTTACTTCCACAAGCATGGCATTTACAAGAAGGGTTTTAGAAAGGGTTTGGGCGGCGGAGGCGGTCTAGGTGGCGGTGGTGGTCTTGGAGGAGGTGGTGGTCTAGGAGGCGGCGGTGGTTTGGGAGGAGGAGGCGGTCTAGGTGGAGGTGGCGGTCTAGGAGGCGGTGGTGGTTTGGGAGGAGGAGGTGGTCTTGGCCACGGTGGTGGTTTGGGTGGAGGAGGCGGTCTAGGACATGGTGGTGGTTTGGGCGGAGGTGGAGGTCTGGGAGGAGGCGGCGGTGGGGGTCTAGGTGGCGGTGGCGGTGTGGGCGGAGGAGCTGGAGGAGGATACGGTGGTGGTGCTGGAGGAGGACTTGGAGGCGGTGGAGGTGCTGGTGGAGGAGGAGGATTTGGTGGCGGAGGAGGATATGGAGGCGGAGGAGGGTTCGGCGGTGGAGCTGGTGGTGGATTTGGTAAAGGCATTGGTGGTGGAGGAGGTTTGGGAGGCGGTTATGGTGGCGGTGGCCATCACTGATGAGTGATGAGGCTCATGATCATGCATTCGTACGTTGTTATTATTTAACTAAATGAAAAAGTGAGATTAATTATTCAATAAAATGATACATTAGCAATTGTGTATGTCGTTTCTGTTAATTTTGAGTCGTATTGTATGCTATTTTATGTTATGCTTTGGTTGGTTTCAAGTTTGGTTAATAAAATGGTCGATTTGTGCATTTCGTCCACAGTTATTGAGTGTCTGTTTCAATGTTTTCTATGTGATACATGATTACTTTAATATTTTCCAAACTATTTTATGTTTACCTTTGTACTAATGACGAGATTCATCTTATAAAATATCAAATTTTTTTTAATATGGTAAATTGTTTATTTTATTTTGCCAAATATTTGAATTCCATTAAATAAGAGAAAAATGTTTGTAAAATATTACAATAGGGTGAGAGTAGAGATATCAACCAAGGCGAAAAAGGTTAAAAACAAAGTTGAGCCTATTCCTTGGATAGGATGTAAGATTGGATTAGTACTCATTTTCAAGCCAAACACATGATGTCACTGAATTTCGGTCCGTGCCTCTTGCCAAGTATTGTGTCTCTGATTTGTCTGTCGATTATTTTTGTTTCTATCGCACAAAATGTATAAAGATAAAACTTAGTACAAATTTGCTAGAGGTGAATTGTTAATATCTATCCAGTAATGGATATGGCTTAACATAGGAGAAAGCTGCAGAGCACGATTTCTAGTACGATCGTCTTTTGCAAATATGTCGACTCGGTTATTACTGGTTCTAGGTTCGTAAACCAGCTTGTTGTCTTGATGATATCTAATAGATCTTTAATTTTGCTTAGTTCTATTTCTATTGCCAAAGCTGGTCATGCTTTAGAGGTTGACTAGTGTTTTGTGAATTAGTAACAAAATGGTTGCAATAATGCTGGTGTTGTTTGAAGCATGTTTGTGTCTTTATCAGATATGAATATTTTCGATCATGAAAAACCTTACAAATAATTGGGGTATAAGCACAAAATTAAAACAAAGAAAAGAATTGAACTATTGAATATAACTAAGGTTATAGCCTTTGCATAGGCACGGAGTCGGGGACATAGTTGATTATTTTATAATTTTATTATATCTTTTGATGTTTGATATATAAGCTGAATCGATATGACGTGTGATAGTCTTTCATATTAGTTAATAAAATTCTAAAAACCCATATATATCGACAACTAATATGCATACTTGTTAAATGTCAAAGGTTCTTCTCAATCTTCTTTAATTCCCATAAATTTGCTATGTTCCACGGAAGCGGCAACAACAACAAACTGAACAGTTCGACCAAAGTAGGAAAATCAAAAATGGAGAGGCATGCGACAGCTTTAGCAACAGAGCATGAGATGAAGTCATTTCGAGAAGATGTAATAAAATTTGACTGGAAGGAGAATCGATGAGAGAATCATAGATGAAGAGTTCCTCAATTTAGATAGATTATATATTAAGCGGAATGCAGGAGGTGTTACAAATGTGGTCTATTATTAATTGGTGGAGTAAAAATGAGAGACGTAGAGGTAGAATAGAAGGAAATGATTCACGGAAACACAAATAATCACCCTGTATTTAGATTAGTCTGAAGCCATGTTCAGAATGACGCTAGGCGTTAGTCGGGGATGATGAAATCCTAGCGAATTAATGATTAATCAGGAATTATGCGGAGATTAAACAAGACCTAATTTTAAATATTTTATTTAATAATGTAGGTATTATATTGTCTAGTTTTCGTAAAATATGGTAAATATCTATATGATAAATACTTTGTTTTAAGAGTAAGTAATCTAAATTCGATTTTTGTTTTACACTTTTTTTTGTTTTTTATTTTTGTTTTATAGAACCCACAAAACATACTTACATAGACACCCTTAAAAATGAGGAAACTATACTATTATTATATAGATTTAACTTCAACTAACTGAACTATTGAAGATATTGTTAACAATGGCCGCAAAATATTTTATGAAGAGCGGGAAACAATGTTTCCATTGCTTCTGCCCAGGAGCTGGGTATGAAGTTCAGTATAGAGGAGTGAATTTTCTTGTGTAATGTATACTTCCGGATGTAGTAAGTCATTTAAAATTAAAACTAATAAGCAAACTCAAATGTCTATCTCAACTACAGAAAGCTTAGTTGAGATAAACATTTGAGTTTAAAGTAACAAGAAGTCAAGAAAACACTGGGACTTAATGTAGGTCCTCATAACCTCATCTAATATTCAGCCTATACAATTTCTTTTTGATTAAACCTTTCATTACTTAAACAAGAAACAGAGTTTAGCCATCAAATGGTCGACTTACAAGTTCCTGAAGGCTCAGCCTATACAATTATTTTTTTATGTTTTACTCTAAGTCGGAAGCAACCCTCATCTGAAAAGTAATCATACGACTCAATATCTTCTTGTATTTAAGGCCCATGCTACTTAGTCTACAAAACATCTAGAAATCTCAGAAAACACATCTGTTAGTTCACACATCTCTTCACACGACATTACACAGACCTAATGTAGAGTCTAATTTTCTTAGCTGATGATGATGCGCTTTATTGTGTGATACGTCATATGTGTCAGGTCTTCTGTTAGCTAAACCAATATATACGTGCACTTTGGTCTGTGACCGTCCTTCACGTTACCAGGTCTGCAAGTGCCACACCCATTCTAGTGGTGAATCCGCCCCTGTCTGCAATTTGACACTCCACAAACATTATTGTGTGCATGTCGTTATATGCTAATCTGATTTATGTAGTTTTGAACATATGTGAGAAATTTCGAACCGATGCCTTTCCAATTCAAATTTTTTTTGTCTGTTGAACTATTCTAATCCAAGTTGTACGCAAGAAAAAAAATCAACTAACGTGGATTTCACTTCATGATCTGAATGAATGAAATTTAGCCACTTAGCCATATATTTTTCCAAGCTAGAATACAAAAGACTTCAACTTAGCTCTATCATCTTCTACGTCAAGTTGTTTGGGTGACATAGCTTCAGTTGAAACCTACATATCATTATTTATACCACCAACCTTCTCTCCCATTTTTCTTAAACCAAAACAATTCTTCTTCAAAAGTTTTCATAAAGACAATGTCTGAATCCCGTTTGCATTTGCATTTTATTTCGCTAATCTTGCTCTGTTGTGTCTCCCCGTCAAGCTTCTTCACTTTCAACCTCGATGATAGTAGTTATGTTGCTTGTGATCCCCATAAGACTCATGCTCTCACTGAGTTCATGAACGAGTTTGATAGCAGCAAGTGCAACCACAGTGATCCATTTAATGGAGTCTGGTGCGATAACTCGACCGGTGCGGTCACAATGCTACGACTCAGCGACTGTCTCAGTGGAACTCTAAAGCCCAATAGTAGCCTATTCAGGTTACATCATCTTCGTCACCTTGACCTCTATCAAAACAACTTCACCTCATCTTCACTTCCTTCTGTATTTGGGAATCTCAAAAGGTTGAAGAACAGAGAAGAAGAGCTCAAAAAGACAAACTTTATTAATACTTTCGGCTGCTTACAAAGTTCCCATAAGATGGGTTTATATACAAGACGTTTAACCTAGGAAGCACTGAAGTTAACATGTGACAGCGCATAACCTAAGAGGTGTAAATCTATTGGTCGTCATCGCCGTGTGAGTTGTGTGAGCCGTACCATAAGNGCATAACCTAAGAGGTGTAAATCTATTGGTCGTCATCGCCGTGTGAGTTGTGTGAGCCGTACCATAAGCACACTTTGTTGAAGCTTTTGTCGTTTCTGCAACACTCTTCTTTACCGTTGCAGAGGGAGACACTATGGGCTTGACTTCTGTTGACTTGGTTTGGGCTTCGTCACCACATTTGAGGCCCATACTGTCTTTACACCCCCTCAAACTCAGAGTAGATGAAACAGAGACACTGAGTTTGGCGCGCAAGAGATAATAAGAAGCTTGAGGAAGGGACTTCGTAAAAACATCAGCAACTTGAAGAGAAGCCGGTATGTGTTTTACTTCCAAAAGCTTCATAGCAACTCGCTCTCGGACATAGTGGAAGTCGACCTCAAAGTGTTTTGTTCGTCGATGAAACATGGGATTCGCGGAGAGACAAACTGCAGACAGGTTGTCGCAGAGCAGTAGTGGCATCCTTTGTTGTTGCAAACCCAACGTCTTCAAGAGGTTCTGTAACCACGCAATCTCTGAAGCTGCCAAGGACATGGTTCTATATTCAGCCTCAGTAGATGATTTTGACACAGTATCATGTCTTTTTGCTGACCAGGAGATTATGTTCTTGCCAAGAAAAGTGCAAAATCCTCCTGTAGACCTTCTAGTATCTCTGCAACCAGCCCAATCACTGTCGCTGTAGCAGATTAAAGTAGAATCAGTGTCTTTTGTGATGCCTATACCCAGCTCCGTTGTTCCTTTAACATATCTCAGAATGCGTTTGAGAAGGTTGAAATCAGAGACACTTGGTTGATGCATCCTTTGACATATGTAGTTCACAGAGAACTGCAGGTCTGGTCTTGTGAGAGTCAAATACTGAAGTTTACCAGCGAGGCTTCTGAAGTAAGATGGTTCAGAGAACAGCTCATCTTGACCTTGAAGATTATCCAGTTTAATAGGAAGTGGCGTAGGCATAGGAGCAGAATCTTGCATTCCTGCAGAGACTAGAAGCTCTTGAACATACTTGGCTTGGTTGAGAAACAAACCGTCTGTGGTGTGATGAACTTGTATGCCTAAGAAGTAGTGAACATCACCCATATCTTTCATCCGGAACACAGTGTTCAGACTATGAAGAAGTTGTTGAATCAACTTATCATTGTTGCCGGTCAAGAGCATATCATCAACATAAAGAAGAAGATATATCACATCAGTACCTCTGTGGAAGACAAAGAGAGAAGGATCTTGAAAACTGCAAGCAAAGCCAAACTGAAGAAGAAACATGCTGAACTTGTCAAACCAAGCACGAGGAGCTTGCTTTAAACCGTAAATAGCCTTCTTCAATTTGCAGACATAATCTGGTTTTGCTGGATCTTCAAAGCCTGGGGGTTGAATCATGTAAACAGGCTCTTTGAGGTCACCGTGGAGGAAGGCGTTCTGAACATCAAGCTGCTTTATGTTCCATCCCTTGGAGACTGCAACATGTAATACTGTTCGAATAGTTGCAGTTCTTACAACCGGACTAAATGTTTCAAGAAAGTCTACTCCTGCTTCTTGTTCGTTTCCCCTTGCTACCAGCCTAGCTTTAAGCTTCAATGTTGTGCCATCAGCATTTAATTTTTCTTTGTATACCCAACCACAACCAAGAGGATGTTG